GTCTGTGGATTTTGTGGAGAGTCCACGTAGGACATGTAGTATGCGTCAGTCCATTCTGTCTGACGTCCTGTCCGCCATGGCCTGTCTCATGGAACGGACAAAGACTCAACAGCCGTCCTGTCTCACAGATCAGTGGATCGTCGGTCTATGAACCCTAGACCCTAAACCCTGGACCGACTTGCACTTCTGACAGAAAGGTCCTCACCGGCCTTTTCCCACACCGAAATTGACCTGATGTTTGTCTGATGGAACACGAACACTCCTGCGAGTGGAAGAGGAAAGATGGACTGAGGAAAAGCTAGAAAAAAGAGTTTGGGTTTGCCAAGATTAAGTTTTGGCCCAGGATCATCCCATCCATGCCCATGCAGCTCGCTCCGACGGCCGGCCGCGGCGGGACAGGTCATGGTGGTGGCGGTAAGGGTAATAATGGGCTGGTCATTGCAATCTCCCCCCGAGCAATGAAGTGTTGGGGTGGAGTGTTTGTTTTGTGGAGTTGACGTGGCGGAGTGGCGGAAAGCCTCTCTCCTCTTTGCTGCGCCTAGTCGACGCAGGGGTACGTGCTGCCTCGGCAGATCTGCCGCATCATCCATGGCATCAACCAACCACCATCGCCTGATTACTTCCAATCTCTCTTACGAGGTGATGATCCTATTGTCATGATGCGCATGCTCCAGCCGGCGGCATGAATGACTTCGCCAACCTGCAGAAAGGCCTGGCTGGCGGCAAGAGGGCTCTCTACGAGGACAAGAACACCGAAGAGGGAGGCCATGATCCGCTGGCAGACAATCTGCGAGGGAGCCGCCGTGTGTCCAAGAGCAGGAGCTATGCATCGTCGGATGCGAAGGGAGGCCTCGGCACCACAGCCACCAGCAGCTCTCTTTCGTCACCCATCGGCCCTCACCGCCCCTCCCACTCCCATGAGAAACACACACAGCTGCCTGCCAACACTGCAACCCCGGCTGTGAGCACACCAGCCGGTGTGGGGCAAGCGATTCTTAGTGGACGGAGGGGCGATTACGGTCTGGAAGGGATGCACATGCAGATGCTGCCCACCCTGGCAGACCCTGTCAAGGTGCGGACACACACGTGTGTGCACACATCAACACACGTACACACGCACCCCACATGAAGGGATTGAATTGGCTGTGGATGTGGATGTGTGTGGGTGTGTGCACAGGCGACTCTAGTTGATGAGGAGGACTCTCCCGCCATGTACCATGACCTTCTTGGCCTTTCAGAGTGGCGGCACGGAAAGGTGGGTGGTGCCTGCAGATGAGATGCGAAGATGCTGGATGGATGGATGGATGGGTGGACATTATTGACTGTGGTTGTGTGGTTGCTGTGTGTGCAGTTTGATTTGCGTGAGATCAAGTGTCTGATGCGTCAGCTGCTGGAGGGGCTGCAGCACTGCCACCAGCACCACATCATACACAGAGATATCACAAGTACTCACTCGCGCCTCCCCTGCCCCCTCGACACACGTGCAGTGCAGAAGCGGCTGTGCTGTGCTCTGGTGTGTTGTGCAGCTTCCAACTTGCTGCTGACGAAGCAAGGCGAGCTCCAATTGGGCGATTTCGGTCTTGCCAGGTGAGCGAACGGCCTGGTCCATGCATTCATTCGTTGTGCATCTTTGTACTCATCAGGCTGCGTGTCAAGTCGTCCCAGCAGGGGCACTCCACCAACCGAAAACACACTGTGGTACAGACCGCCGGAGCTGCTGCTTGGTTCGGTCAATTACGGCACCGCTGTCGACATATGGTCCGCGGGGTGGGTGGATACACACCCGGCATACACACACATGGACAGATGGGCAGAATGCGCGCACGGACCTGTGAGTGTTCTTGCCCTTGTTTCAAGGTGCGTTTTGGCTGAGCTGATGACAGGGAAGCCTCTCTTCAACGGCGAGAGCGACAAGCACATGCTCGATATGATATTCAGGGTGAGGCTGACCGATCGACCGATCGACCGCACTGCCGTGCGTCGGTGGGCTGGTTTGGTGGGTGTATGTTTCATGTGTGAATGAGATGCCAATACATTGATTCATTGTGCAATTGTGCGGGAGTCCTGACAGCATGACATGGAGCGAGGCGGTGCGGCTGCCCGAGTGGGAGAAACACAGGCCGGAGAGGCACTTTCCACGCACCATACGCAACAGATTCAGAGGGTAAGGACCCAGAGAGTGGGGGAGAGGGACTCTGGACAGCACCAGGCACATCAGACGCAAATGTGTGCGTGTGTGTATGGTTTGTGTTTGATCATGCAGCTTGGATGAGACTGGCGTCGATCTGCTGGACAAGATGCTCACACTCGACCCAGGCAAGACACAGACACATACACACATACACACACACAGACAAACACACACTCCCGTAGACACATGGACAAAGAGAGCGCTGCTTTCCTTTCCGACTCGTCGGTTCCTTCAGAGTGTCGCGTCACGGCGAGTGCAGCTCTGGAGCACCCCTTCTTCACCCACAGCACCCCGCTGCCCTGCCAGCCCAGCGACATCAAGCTTCCCGAGCCGCCCCGCATTCCCTCTGACCCGTCCCAGCCACTGCCGCCACTACCTGTGCACATGTCTGCGCCGCACCACCATGAGGAGGAGGACAGCATCGTCCCTCCCATCCACCCCGACGAGGCCATGCAGATGGTGTCTGAGGTCGCGGAGCAGGCAGATGGGTCGCTTTCCCGGCCTGATGGCGGGTGGAGGGAGGAGGTCGGTGCCGGCCTCAAGCAAGGCATGCCCCATCACAGAGTCTTCTGCGTGCGCATGCGGAGCGATCACTGCGCAGTATCCGCTCCCTGGTGTCCGCCGTATAGACACGGGGTAAGGAAGCACACAAAACATCCGCACAATTGGTCATGGCTGCTCTGCATGTGCCTCCCTCCGTGCAGCCCCTCTGTGTGTATTTGGCCGACGGGCGTGAGGCCGGCGACCCCTCCGCACCGACATCGGTATCCCCAGAGGAGAAGAGACACATCGAGACGGCCGTCCTCGCGACGATGAAGCAGGCGTGCGAGGAGGGGCACCCCGACGAGACGGGCAGCCGCAGAGTGAACCTAGGCACAATCGTGGAGAAGGTGATGGACGAGCTGATGGACCGCGGAGTGGTCGTCGGCGGTCACCCCAGGACCATCATCATGCTGTCAGCCGAGAAACTGCTTCTCTCTGACGTGTCGTATGACGGATCCGCCAGCGTGGTGTCTTGCAAGTGGGGCGCTTTAGCAGGGGGACTGACGCGGGAGGTGCCAGGGGAACTGACCCTGCGGTTCTACTTCGTCAGATGGAACCCCTTCAGCAGCACCACCGACAGCAGCGCGTCTTTTGTGTCGGCGGACGCGCCAACGACCATCAACACCATAGCCCTTACCCCACCCCCCTCCCCGCCCCCTCCCATAGCCCACTCGTCGGTGCAGAAGGCCACAGAGAGGCGCGACAAGCGGCGGCCAGAGGAGCCCAGCCGGCAGTCTACCAGGCTGCTAGACACAGATTTCCCCCAGCAGCAGGGCAAGGCATCTTCCCCACTCGGCAGCTCGTCGCCATTCCTCTTGTCGGCCAATCTCCGCAGCGCCATCGGCACGCCCGGCGGGCCAACTCGGTCGGCGGACACCAAGGGGACGGCTCGCGGGCGGATGCACAACGACGATGGGTCGGACGGTGAGGACGGGGGTGATGCCCACAAGCGGCACTCACGGCCCAAGAAGGGTGATTCCCGCGATGCGACGCCCGATCTGGTGGAGAGGCGGCAGGATGAGACTCTCAAGCGGATGGACCCGAACAGAAAGAAGATGAAGGCCATGCTGCGGGCGATGCGGGAGATGTGCGCCCACGATCAGCTGGTGGCAGAAGATCAGCGCAAGGCCGTGCAGTTCAAAGAGGAGGACCTCCAGCTCCTCTCCCAGCTGCCGACTCCCTGCTTCCCCGACCTCTCCCTCATGGACGGGCTGCTCTTCCGCCACGCCCTGCAGGCGTGTGTGGTGCACGGTGCTGCCGGGTCGCTCGAGGCGCTGCTGAGGGAGACGCTCGTGAAGCCGACCGAGAAGGACAAGAAGAGGCTGGCTGTGGGTGAGGTGCGGGCCATGAAGGACGGGAAGGTGCTCCAGTGGAGTGACCTGTCGTTGGGTACTCTCGATCCATCGTGCCCGTACCGTGACGAGCCCCTCAGCCCGGTCACTGAAGGTACGCAGACGGACAGAAGGACGGACGGACAGACAGACAGACAGATGGAAGGCCCGACACTTAGTGCACGCTGGTGCTGATCCTGCCTGTGTGTTCAGACTATGTGCCGTCCCCCCTAGTCGTGCAGGCGGTCGTGGCCAAGGCGCCCATCCATATCATGCGGGTACGTCCTGAGCCTGTCGCGCTGGCTGCGTGTAAGGATACCTCCGTGTGTCTGTGTTATGCAGACGCTGCTGGCGTACAACGCCGATGTGAATGCACGAGGGCATGCCGGCCAGAGAAAGATGACTGACTGCAAGATCAGCTACAACACATCCGCCGTCGGCAAGCGGCCAGGGAAGATATTGCTGAAGCACAGCCTCATTGCATTGCCTTCCGTGTGTGTGCAGGTGCGGCTGCATTGTGGCACCGTCCTGATCTCCTTCGTTTCCTCCTCCGTGAGGCAGGTGCCGACCCGTCCGTCCCGGCAATCGCGACGTTTGAGAGCGAACACGGTAGGTACCACAGCCCCCACCTCTCGACAAATGACCTCATGCATCCCTGTTCGTGTCCCCTCTAGCGTTGTCAGGCCCCCCCATCATTGCTCCTCGTGACTTGCTTCAGCTGGTGTGCTTTGGCCCGCCGCCCATAGCGGCCGTGGGTGCGCAGCCGTTGGAGGTGCGACAGCAGCAGGCCCTGGCCACCATCGAGGTGCTCGATGCGGAGGGGCTGATCAAGCACGGCGGGAGCGGCAGCGGCATCTTCGACATCAACTCCAGGGACTAATACGGCCAAACGCCTCTGCACATCGCCACCGCCAACGGCCGGTGCACTCTGGTCGAGTGGCTGCTCGAGAAGGAGGCGGACTATGGGGCTACCGACAAGTTCAACGAAAGGCCTTTCGCCCTCGCACAAAGACGCGGCCGGAAGGTCAGCTGTCAAGGAATGGCGTCCACTGAGCCGCCGCAGTGAGTGAGTCCGCCCTGTTGTGCTTCGCAGGAGTGCGAGGCCGTGCTACTGAAGCATATCTGTGCCGAGGCCGTCCGTTGGAGGCGCTCGGCCACCAACACTGCCGCAGGAGCCAGCATGGGAGCGCCTTCCATCCCCACGGCAAGCGAAGACACCGCCCCACACACATATGGCAGGGGCACACACACCCACACACAGACCGCATCCTTTGTGTGGATGGATCGATGGGCGCAGGCAGCTGCAGCTGGTGCGATGGATGAGGGCGGCGGTGTCGACTCGCCAGCGGCCGCGGCACACGAGAGGAAGAAGCAGGAGCTGCGTGAGAAGGCGACCAGGGGAGTGCTGCAGATGAGGGCCATGGCGAGAGCGATCCGGGAGGCGTGCTCACACGACCTGTTGACGCCAGAGGGGCCACGCAAGCCCGTCGAGCTTGGGGAGGACCACTCGCTGCTGTCGTCGCTGCCCAAGCCCATGGTCTCCTACATGAACGGTTTCGTGCTGAAGCAGGCCCTCCACTCATGTGCGGTCCACGGCTCGGCGAAGTCGCTCGACACACTGCTGCAGGACAACTTCATCAAGCCGACCGAGGGCGGCAGCGAGGGGCTGCCGGTGGGCCAGGTGCGGACGGCGAGCGGGGAGATTCTCAACTGGCGTGATCTGCCACCCGCCAGCATCGAGTCCTTTGAAGACGAGCGGCTCATCGACGGCAGTAAGTGAAAAGCCACACCGAAATGCCAAGAAGGGTCTGTCTGCTAACGTCTGGATGGCCTCAGATTACGTGCGGAGACCTTTGCTGATCGACGCGATCCTGGCGAACCTCGTTCGTGGTGACAATGCTCCCTCTGTGCTGCAGATCGTCAAGGTACCTCAGCAGACCGCATGACGGCACTTCGCTGCCTCTCATGCTCATGCGTCCGCCCGTCTGCCTGTCTGGCCACCTGCCTGTCTGCCTGTGTGCAGTCGCTGGTCGAGTACAATGCCGACGTCAACGAAATCGGCGTGGTGGCTTGGGATTGTAAGACCAAAAAGCTAATGATGTCATCCGCTGTCGGTGAGTGTCGAGAGGAAAGGGCGAGACAGAAGGAGAAATGCCGGAAGGATGCAGGTCTGACTTGGTGTCTTCAGGTGCTGCTTCCATGTCCCACTTGCCTGAGGTCCTCGACTACCTTCTCAACCAACCGCATGCCGACCCGTCAGTCCTCTCTGGGGGGGACTTCCTTGCGGGCCTGAACATCCTTCAGCTCGCCTGCATTGGGGAAGACGTGAACCCGGAAGGCAACCAAGATACCGAAGGTGACAAATCAATCGATTGAGCCAGACTGACGCGCGCTGACGCTCTTGTGTGTTGCCACAGCTCCCCGGCCCCCTCCTGAGCCCATGGTGGGCAGCAAGGGCCGCAAGAAGGCCGCCAGCAAGGGCAAACGGGCCGGCAACGACGGTCTTGCGCAAGAGGCGGGACAGCAGGCGGCCGGTGGGACAGCGGCGAAGGAGGCAGAGCAGAAGGAGAAGGCCCGGCAGTCGCGTGCAGTGGCCACCCTGGATCTGCTCGAACGCCGCGGCCTGACGCGCAGCGCACCGGCCGAGGGCAAGGGAGGGCGTCGCAAGAGGGCCGTCCTGAGTCTGCACTGCCGTGACAAGACGGGCTGGTCTCTGCTGCATTTTGCAGCTAGTAGTGGGTGGTCTGAGGTGATCAAGTGGCTGCTCAAGAGGGGCTTGGACGCTGAGGCCGTCAAACAAAACAAGAAGAACGAAACACCCCTCGATGTCGCCCGCCGATTCGGCCGGACGGTCAGCAGACAGGAGGAAGGCACAGCACGTCAGCCGCTTCATTTGTTTGGTGTGTTCAGCCGTGTGTGGACGTGCTGATGGCTCATCTGGAGGCCCGTCAGAAGGCGGCGGCTGCCGATCTGCTGCGAGAAGAGGAGATCGCCCGCAAGAAGGAGGAGAAGGCCGCCAGAAAGCGCGAGCAGAAGCGTCTCAAGGTGCCCTTCCCCTGCACCGCTGCACACACGGATACTGCATGTGTGTGTCATTGCCTTCAGCGTTTGGCGACTCAGCAGGCTGAGTCAGCGGCAGATGGCGAGACGGAGGAGGCCGACGACACACAGCACGAGACTGAAGAAGTAGATCATGTGACGGGGGAAGCTGCTGCGCCGAGCTGCCCGCCAGACTCACACAGCGAGAGGTGCAGACAGAGCCACCGACACTTCTACCCAGTAGCCCCCATCTGTTGTCCCTCTTGTGTGTGGGATGCACAGTGTCGAGCCGGCCTTCTCTGACGCCCCGAGTGACCGCCACCAGCAGCGAGATGTCCTCAGCCAGAGGCCACCAGCTCATGTCGGCCCTTCGGCATTCGCTCCTCGCCCTCTCTCCCCTGCTCATGGCGCATCAGCGAGCCACTTGTTTGCTGCCCAGCGGCCGCCCAGCTCATCGTAAGGCACTCAGAGGGGACCCACCACACCGCGATCTGTTGTGTGTGTGGGTCATCCATCCATCAGGTCCTCATTTGCCGACCCGCCGGCGTCATCGACGGTCAGCACGACGCCCGCCGACCGGCCCTCCTCCGCACAGACGTCAGCCCGACACGACCGGTGACTCCCAAACATAGCCCCAGTCGCCTGTATGGTCTGTAGCTGACGATGTGGCTGTGTGTGCGCAGGTTCTGCCCGGCTGACGTGACGGCTCAGTTGCGGGCTGACCTGAACGGATGCATCGACAAGAAGGAGAGGTCAGACAACACAACAACACGGCCATGTGTGTCATACCAATGTGTCTGTCTTATTCCGTGTGTGCAGTCTGGAGGATCAGTACAGTGATCTGTTGGCTGCCCGTCGGCGGGATGCCGATCGCGTCAAGGAGCTCAAGACGAACATACGACGACTCAAATACGTCTCACCTAGGTGAGCGATACACACGAGGAGAGGGCCCCCCACAGTGGCTCCACTGTGTGTGCTGTTGATGCAGCCTGAGCCACGATGTGTTGGTGTCCCTCGCCACGGCTGCCCAAGTGCGTGACTTTGAGGCAAAGATCAGCCGCGAGGAGGATCGACGAGCTCATGGAGACGGCCGTCGACGCACAGCATGCCCTCCGGCTGCAGAGCGGCGCATCCAAACCCACAAAGGCACCCGCAGCTGAGCAGCAGAGCGCCTCAGCCGCAACTGTAGCTGCAGCGTCTGCCTCCACGCCCACATCCGCTGCTGAAGGGTGCGTGGGACTGTGAGGAAGGGGCGCCATCCATTCCCATGTCGGTGCATCTTGTGTGCACATCAATCAGGTGTGGCGTGCCGGTGTGCGGTGCGATGCGGGTGTTGTTGGACGAGTTGTCGACTGAGGCTCAGCTGCTCGAGGCCATACAACACATCCAATACGACATAGACCAGTAAGAGAGGACCGTCCGTATGGCAGCCAGAACGAACTCATCGCCCTTGATCTGTCTGTCTGTCTGTCTGTCAGGCTGGAGGGTGACATCTCTCGGATGACGGACGTGTGCACCGAGGCCGAGGCCGCACTACAGCCGCTCGAGCAGGAGCACCACACACTGCAGCAAGAGGCAAAGAAACGGTAAACAAAGGCCCACCAACACACACAGACGGCCCGTCATATGCCTCTCCGTATGCCTCTCTGCCCATTGCCAGGTTGACCCCTACTCGTCTGGAGTCACTCACGAATATCGCAGCGGTGGATGCCTTCAAGCGCGACATCAAGAGGGCCAAACAAGAGCTGCGAGATCTGGCCAGAGAGGCCGGCCGCCGAGAGGCTGCACTCGAGAAGGAGGAGACGGCCGCTGCTGCCGCTGCTGCTGCTGCTGCTGCTGATGGCGATGGCGGGGAGGGCACCTGCGTCATGTGCATCTCGAAGACGCCAACCGTCGTATTCTTCCCATGTCGGCAGGTCAGTCACGACACACCCAGACCGAGTTGCATACCACCTTTGTCCGTGTGTGTGTGTGTGTGTGTGTCTGCAGAAGTGTCTGTGTGAGGGTTGCTGGCGCGACATGGCGGCGGCCCACGAGGCGGCCAAGAAGGAGAAGGCGCGCCTGGAGGCCCTGCAGCGGCGAGTGCCTGACAACATCGCCTGTGACGCCCAGCTCAAGTGTCCGATGTGCAACCAGGCGGCCCACTACGCCAGCACCGTCGACGGCATCACGACAGCCACGTGAGCAGCAACAGACAGAGACAGTCGGTAGACCGACGTGTGCATAGCTGTAGCTCTCATGCGCCGACGGCGCGGACTCAAATCAGTCAGTCGTCGCTGTGTATATCCCTACCTCTATATTGGTGGCAGACCTCTTTACTCGGCTGGATGGATGTCGTGAGTGAGATGACAGACAGTGTGTGTGCATGTGTGCCCTTTATAGTCTGTGAATACCACTTCGCCACCGTCACACACTCACATGATGTTAAAGTTCACATTGCGCCACAAGGCAAATGGCATGTAGGGTCCACTGGTGCAGTCATGAGCCGTGTCCTCCTCCCCACCGCCACCGTTGACCGTCACGCCGGCCACATCACACACATCCGTCCACACCAACAGCAACAGACCACACAGAAAACACAGACGGGCAAAACCCCCGACTGTCTGCCTGAATGCCTGACTGTCTGACTGAGTGTCTCGAGCTAATGAAGGGTTATCTCTGCTAAGGACGGTCGGTTCGTGGCGATCGATCGCGGCCTCTCTCAATCCATATGTGAAATGAGTGCACTCATCTATTCGCACATCAGCGCCAAGTGGCATCAATTGTCAAGGCGCCATCTGTCTATCTAGAGGCTCTCCTCTCCTGCCTCTCGATGTCCTGCCTCCGTCTCCCCCTCAGAGCCCTCACCTCAGGCAACACACGCCATACCTGCCAAGCCAAGCCAACACACAAACAATACACAGGTGCATATGTGTGTCTGCCCACAAACCTGTTTGCACAGTGAGGCGATGTGTGTGTCGAACAGCCTGGGCTGCCCCGGTGCGATGACCTCCGCACCCCTGCCCCTCACTCCCAGGAAGTGATCCAGGATGGCACACGCAGCGTACGCATCGATGCCGCCCTTGGCACCTACACCACACACGAAGGGTAAAGGCTGTGGCCGGCTGTGCCTGTCTGCCTTTCTCACCGCTGATCCTCAGTGACTTGACGTACTGCGTCGAAAACTGCTCGTTGAAGAAATACACAGGCACACTCACATCTTCTTCTCCGGCAGACCCGCCGTCGCCATCCCGCCGGCCACTTGATGTGCCACCAGCTGCCGATGGCCGGACAGAGGCCAGCCTCGACAGGCGTGACACGGCAGCCGCCGTGCGCTGCGAGCTGGCGCCTCTCATCGCCTCTCGTGCTGCCTTTCTCCGCCGCAGAGAGGCGAGAGCTGCAACTCCACTGCTGCCGTCCTTGGCAGCTGGTGTGCCGTCGTTGTCTGCTGCTGCCCTCGAGGGACCGACGGGCGCCGCTTGAGAAGCGATTGCGTCCTTGAGTGCGTGGCAGAAGTCGCGGAAGATCATGGTGAGGAAGTCATAGTCACCGAGATAGGCCAACCTACACCCACACAGCACAGACAGACAGACCGACAGACAGACATGTGGAAGTCGTGCATACGCCTGGCTGAGCGCACCACACACACCTGGGGTTCCTCTGCACCGGTTTGCCGACCACGACGCACTCAATGCGGTTGTCCCGCACAATCCTGGCAATCACTTCGGTCACACGGGTCACGTTGCCGTCGTTGGGCAGCACAGCCATGGGCTCGGGGCTGTCCAGGCGACTCGACACCATCGCAAGACCGATCTTGCGAAGCCCGTAGTCCACACACAATAGCCGCTCGAACGACGCGACGTCGACGCCGGACTCACCCACTGTTGGAAAGGCTCCTCTCCGAGTTGCAGTCATGACCAGAGAAGTTGTTTTGGATGGCCGCCGGCGAGTCACCTTCCTGTGGATCTTGATGAATGGCGATGGATGAATGCGTTGGCATCCGACCCACGAGAGTGCGTGTGGCCGATTTGAGGCGTCTGCTGTCCTCTGCATCCCCGGCTTCATCTTCATCAACGGTGCTTTCTGTGTCCGATATCTGTCGATCCCAGCGAATGCCGTTGCCGACACCATGTCTGCGAGAGCACCAGTAACGAGAAACAGCCCTCTTATGGCTTCAAGAAGCATCTCATATGTACATTCAAGCTCGCAGCTAAGCTCGCAGGCAAACACCAGACGAGAAAAAGATGAATGCGCAGCTGTGTGTGAGAGGTGAGGCAACAGTGAAGAATCATCACCCAAAAACTGATAGCGTTGCGCCATCAGATCTGTCTCATGCTGCTCTATGGCTCTGCTCATTGTTTGTGTGATCTCCCTTGTGTGATCTGATCTCCCGCCTCAGGTATGGATCTGCATGATCTCTCGCTGCTTTCGTGTTGAGTGATCACGTAGGACACGATGGACGGTCATCCACAAGATCCACAGGGAGATTTGCCGCCCGAGGCGCACAACGATCAACACATGGAGGCTGAGGAAGAGGAGGAAGAGGAGGAGAGCGGACACGACCAAAGCCACTCACCGCCCAACGATGCCGGTGCGCATCAGGACGGTGATGAGGACGAGGAGGACAGCAACGATGGCCAACAACAGCCTCACCCCGCACCCGGACCAGCGGCAGCAGCAGCGGCAGCTGAGGCGTCAGCATCCCCCGACCAGAATGGCCGCGACGAACACAACGACGTCAAAGACAACGACGTCGACGAGGGTCTCGACGAGCAGCCCAGCCACCGTGCTGCCTTCGTCGATGACGAGGCCGAGGAGGGCTCGGACGAGGAGGGTGGCGGCGGCGATGCCGATGCGGAGGCGCGAGCACGCAAGAAGAGGAAGCTCGAGAAGAAGAAGCGCAAGAAGGAGCGTCTGAAGGCCAAGCGTCGGAAGAAGAAGCGGAGGAAGGGCGAGGAGTGGGAGGGCGCCGAGGGTGAGGGCGGGGAGGGCGGCGGGGAGGACGAAAGCGATGAGGAGGAGGAGGAAGGAGAGGAGGGAGAGATTGCAGGTGCGTACGTCATCTGCCCTGCCCGCACACGACAGCACAGCACAGCAAACACATATATCGCTATCGTTGTGCCCATGTGACGTGCAGATGAGATGCGTGGTTTCATCGTGGACGCGCCTGACGAGGAGGAGGGGAGTGAGGAGGACATGGACGAGGACGAGGATGAAGACGAGCGGGGCGCCCAGGACCTCGACGACGACGACTACGAACTCATCGAGATGAACACCGGAGCAAGGGTACTCATTCACACTCTCACACCGATGGATGCCATCCATCCACTCTGTCCCTATGGTGCTTGTTCGTCAGGTGCAAAAACGCCGCCGCGACGCCGATGAGGACGAGGAGGATCGTGGTGTGCAGCGTCGTCGGCTCAAGAAGGGCACTCGTGATGTGGTCAGGGGTCAGGACGCCGAGGACCTCGAGGCGCAGCTCTTCACCGGGGCTGACGACGAGGAGGCCATGGCGCCACCCGACCAACAGGACAGGAAAAAGGTCAGGGATGCGTCGAGGCAGGAAATGTGTGATGGTATCATTTGGCGTGTCGTCTTGGTTTGTTGTGTGTGTGTGTCTGTGTTCGGTCCAGCAGCGCCGTGATGATTTCTTCATCGAGGACGAGTATTACGACGGCGAACCAGGAGGTACGCACACACAGCAACACGCCGAGAGGCCGACAACCACACGCATGTGTGTGTGTGGATGGATGGATGGATAAACACAGAGGGTCGTGCCCGCGAGGACGCCCGTGAGGAGGCTCGCGAGCTCGAGATGATCTTCGGCCACAACTACGAGTTCGCCCTGCAGATCCTGTCCGCCGACAAGTAAGCGACAGCCACAGCACGGCACCCATGAGTGCACTCACCGTGTGTGTGTGTGTGTGTGCGTGCGTGCGTGCAGGGGTCGTCTGGCATATGAGATGGAGCGTGAGCACCACGAGGGCGAGGAGAGCCCCCGCGACGAGGACGACGACATCAGACCGGCGTACGAGAAGGAATGGGTCAAGGTAATAACACAGACCAAGAGCGCCACTCTGCAATGGCTGGATTACGTACCATCCGTCGTGTCGGTTTGTGTGCAGATGGGCGAGCCCGATGAAGTCAAGCGGTAGGCGACCAGCAAAGAATAATTGCAACTGGGTTGATGGATTGATTGATGGATGGATGAATCGCCTGGTGCGCGTGTGCATGTCAGTGAGTTCATGACGGCCGAGGACGAGAAGATCAAGAAAGACAACATGCCAGAACGACTCGTCGACAGACACAAGTCAGCCAATCAACCACCCACCACCCACCCCCATCTCTCGGTGCATTTGCTGCTCGTGTGACATTACCTGTCTGTCTGACAGGGCCCACGGCGAGAGTTTGCACATGCTGACCGACGAGGCGCTGGAGTACGAGGCGAGCTGGCTGATGGAGCGGTTCAAGGACATCCCCGAGTTCGTCAAGGCCTTGAAAGACAGCGAGCTATACGACGACCCCGCACAGGTACACACGCCACAACCTCGTAGAGAGATACGCCCATTTGGGCCTCGTGTGGGTCTGTCTGACAGATGGAGAAGGTCGCCGGCCGCGTCAAGACGGCACTCCACCTGATGCTCAGAGAAAAGAGAGAGGTGCGTCCGCGACCTCAGTCCACAGAGAGACACCCACACATCCCTCCCACCTCCCACCTCGCGCCCCCCCTCCCGCCCTTCCTCCCTCCCTCCCTCTCTCTCTCTCTCTGTGCTGCGTTGCCCCCCCGCAGGTGCCATGGATCTGGTGGCACGCCCGTGAGTTGGTTCAGGTGCGGCCGCCCAGCGACGACCTGACTTTGGTGTACCGCTACGACAGGGACGACCACAGCGGCCACTACCTCCGGCACATGGACGAGATTATCCACTACATGCAGTTCCCCGAGGAGAGGGACCACGTAAAAGAAGCACGGAGGCAGCGCGACAACGAGGAGGAGATCGACGACGAGAAACTGGTGCTCGACGAGGTCCCGTTTGTGAGCCCCTGCCTGACCGAGGAAATGCTCTGGAAGATCTACGAGCTCGACCTCGAGGTGCGCTGGGCTACTGGGGGGTGGGGGGGTGGGCATGAAGCGAAGCGAGCATCTATGTGTGTGTCATTATCCGTCTGTTCAGTACTGGCGCTTGAAGGAGATCCATGCAGAGCTGCAGAAAGAGGTGAATGAGTTAGTTGGCGACGGAGGGTGGGTGTCACTGCATATATGTGGCGATGGTGTGTCTTCTGTCACACAGTTGGAGTCGCTGCCAGCTCCCCTGGAGGAGCCCCTCGCCTCTCTCGTCGCGCCGTTCGGCCCCGCCACCACCGCCCAAGTGCTGCAGGACGCCACGGCGTGTGTGGACTTCTACGGCCGCCTTGTGCGCGTCAAGCAGGAGCAGCAGCAGGAGGGCCAGGCCAAGGACGAGGGGCAGGACGACCACCTCTTCGAGGACCAGCCCGCACCAACCGTCAAGAAGGAAGAAAACAAGAAGAAGACGCTGAAGACCTTCTACACGGTATCACACCCACCCACACCAACCACCACGTGACCATCCCGGTAGTGCATGTCTGTCCATCATAACCATCTTCCGTCGTGCCTTCACTTCATTCAACAGTTGGTTGAGGACAAGGGCCTGGCCAGCCTGGCGCAGCACTTCTGCTACTCGCCCGAGGATCTGCTCGAGAACTTCAATCTCAACGGGCCTCCCTTCAAGCGCAAGGACCTCCCCACCATCACGCGCAGGGACGCAGACGGCAACCCAATGGACCCTGAGGTCGTCGCCGATGAAGCCGACCTCAAAGAGGTCACTTTAACTCGCAACGCGCACGTGTGCCCCCATCGTGTGGCAATCCCTCTTTGTCTGTTATCCGTCTGTCAGTGGTTCGGTCAGTACGTCGATCGTCCGTTCTTGACGAGCGAGAAGGTGTCGTCGGCGGTGATGGACTACGAGGCCCGGCGGCTGGCCCGCCATCCCGGCATCCGCCAGGCGCTGCGGCAGTACTTCGTCAAACACGCCAGGCTGACCACCCGCCCCACGGCCAAGGGCCTCGAGCTCAAGGACCCCGTGCGCAAGGAGTGGGCCGCCATGCGCATCAAGGACAAACACATCGACGAGTTTCAGGTACGTCAACCACCCCATCAGACACACACACACACGTGGGAGGCGGGCCTCATTTGTCTGTGTGTGTCGGTCAGATGTTTGGTGTGGAGATGCCCGACCCGCTGCGCGTAATCCGTCCTTGCCGTGATGAGGAGCACCGCATCAACGACGAGCTCGCCGACATCCACACAAAGCGCAACCAGATCGAGGTCGACGTCGACAACGTCCGCAAACAGCGCGACGACCCCAACACGGCGGAGGAGCAGAAGACAGAGCTCCAGGAGACGGAGAAGAAGCTCGTGGCCGAGATGAGCGAGCTGCGCAACAAGGAGGACGAAATCAATCAGCAGGCGGCCAAGGCCAAGGCGTCGTTCGTTACCAAAGTGGTGGAGTGGGGCGATGAGGTGCGGGACCTGGGCAACGGCATGTGGCCGTCGAACATGACGCAGCGGCGGGACGGCAGGGCTGCTCGGTACAATAGCCAGGACATGGCGGTAATCCGGATGGAGATGGAGCCCTGGGAGCGGGTGCACTTCGGCATCGAGTGGGACAGAGACTTTTACTGGGACAGAGAGACCTTCCTACGAGTCAACAGAGCCGAGAAAAGTGGACTCTTGGAGGTCAGCTAACCCAAACCACGGCACCTTACCCCTCCCATGTGTGTGTGCCTGCATCTGTGTGTGTCGTCCGTCAGGTGGCCATCCACCTCAACCCGCTCGACCCAGACACCTTCCGCGAGCTGAGGGGCCAGGACGCCCTCGACGCTGAGCAGAAGGAGAAGGACGAGCCCAAGGATGACACAGACAAGGATACAGACAGAGACAAAGACAAGGCCAAGGGCAAGGGCAGGCCTTCGTACGACCGTTGGGCGCTGAGCCGGCTGGTGGAGCGGCTCACGCGGGGGTACCTGGTGGACGAGAAGGAGGATGAGGGCGGGGAGGACCCCTTCAACGGCGTGCGCCGGCAGATTGTGAACCGGCTGCTGGACAAGGAACTCTTCCCGCTCTTCCGCAAGGAAGTCAGAGAGCTCCTGCTCAAAAGGGTACACACACAAAATTGGGGCGGGGGGCTCCATCCATCCATCCATCCATGCATCCATGGTGTGTGTGTTGTGTGTTCTGTGTGTGTGACAGTCCCAGGATTGGGTCATCAAGCTGGCTCAGCGGTCGCTGCGGTGGCGTCTGGACCTGCAGGGCGTGCGCAAGGCCACCGACCTGCGGTACTTCGACATGCCCGAGGAGGACATCCCCGACGACTCAGAAGAGTTCTCCGAGGACGAGCTTGAGCTATACCGAAAGGGCGTGTACCGGTCAGCAATACACACACCTTCCCACACACACACACGCGCCGTGTGTGGAGTGCATCGTGTATCTGCGTGCTGTGTGGTGTTGTCAGGTCGGTTGGTGTGGTGACTGAGGATGTGCGCAACGGGACGATGACGCACTTTGTGGCGGTGGACCCCTTCGGTGAGCACCTTGACCACCTCACCATGAGCTTCCTGCTCGACAGACGGCTCGACTACAACTCGCACATCAGGAGGCGACGCGAAAAGGAGCTCGAGACCCTCACAGCATTCTTCGCCAAAAACAGACCTGACGTGGTCGCCATCGGCGCCTGGGGGAGAAGGTGAGTGAGCAGATCATCTGTGTGTGTAACTCTGTGTGGACTGTGTGTCGTGGATGGATGGATGGATGTGTGTTGTGCTTTGTGTGTTGTGTGTTTCACCAGGACGTTTGACGTTGAGCAGGAGGTTGGTGCGGTGATCCACAGCCTCTGCAACCCCGACAGCACAACCGTCGTCCTCAGCTGGCTCGAGAAAACCATCGAGCAGGTGCGTCGGTGCAGTGCCTGACAGACGTACCACCACACCACACCACACCACACGAGCTCGCCGACGTGTGTGTGCATGTGGGTGCGGTGCAGGGCGTTGTGTCGAGTGGCCGTCGGCCCGTGATGACCTATGTCGGTGTGGACGTGGCCCGCATCTACGCCAAGAGCGACAAGGTGGCCAAGGAACTCAAGTCCATGCCCCCTGCCGTCCTGGAGGTCAGCCAGCGACTTACACACACACACACACACACACACACAGGCAGACTCCCTTTCATGTGTGTGTGTGGGCTGTGTGTGGGTGTAGGCGTTGTCGATAGCGCGCTACGTGCAGGACCCGACGAGTGAGATATTGAACCTCTGGGGCGACCATGACGTCAACCCCCTGCTGCACCTCAAGCTGCACCCGCTGCAAAACATGGTCAGCAACCACACAGACGCGAGCAGGTCACAAACGTGGATGCTCATCTCTCTCTCTCTCTCTCTGTGTGTGTGTGTGTGTGTGTGTATGATAGATCCCGCGCGAGAAGCTCGAGGACGCCCTCCTGCAGCCCATCATGAGCATCGTCAACAAGGTCAGCCACCGACACACACACACACACAAAGCGGTCGGTATGATGTTCGCCCACCCCACGTCAGGTCGGTGTGGACATCAACTTGGTCCGTGACCACGCCCACCTGCAGGGCACCCTCCGGTTCGTCTGCGGCCTGGGGCCCCGCAAGGCCAGCGACATCCTGCACAAACTCATCCAAGACGGACACACCGTCAGGGTCAGTCACTCACTCCCTCAACACCACCACCCACCACCCACCACAAACACACACACACACACAGCAACCTCTGTGTGTCTGTCTGTGTCGTTCGTTCATTCAGTCGCGTAATGAGTTTGCCCGTACTGTGGAGGTGGACGACAAGGGCTACGTGTGGACCAACTGCAAGGCCTTCATCCGGGTGGACGCGCCGTCGGTGACCGAACGCCGCGATCTCGAGGATGAAGACGACGAAGAAGAGAGGAAGGACGTACCGGACGGTGAGCGGGCTGGCTGCCACCTGCTCCTGCTGCGGCTGCTGCTGCTGCTGCTGCGTTGATTGGGGTGTGTTGTGTATGGTCACATGTGTGTGTGTGTGCAGATGTGTTGGACCACACGCGCATCTTTGTGATGCCCTATGGCCACAACAGCCTCGAGCAGGACGAAGAGGACCTGCCAACAAAGGCACAACACACACACACACAGTCTACTGCACTCGCGAGCCCAGAGCTCATCCGTTCGGGTGTGTGTGTGTGGTTGGTCGCTCAGCGGAAGTACTTCCGTAAGACGTTGATCCAGCACCTGTACAACAGTTGTTTCCTGCAGCCGGAGGAGCTGCAGCGGCGCGAGCTAGACTTCCAGCAGATGGCGGGCCACGAGAGGGACGCCATCCTCAACAACAGCGTCTGCGATATGATGCGGTACGTTCGTACGCCCGCCTGGCTCCTGCCTTAGGCACTATTACACACATGCACTGACACGTATGTGTCTGTTGTGTGTCAACAATCAGGAAGCCCGATGACTTCGAGGCTCAGTTCGGTGAGCTGGATTTCGACGACGTCTGCAACCAATACGACGAAACCTACCGCGGCGTACACTGCAGGTCTGTCTGCCACCTCCCCCCCACCCCCTCTGCCACAGCACATCACATCCATCACACACGTGGTATAAGCTTTCTTTGTGTGTGTCTGTTCTGTGGTGTGCGGCCTGCAGGCCGCTGTACGACTTTGTGAAGCGCGAGTTCACCCAGCCGTACGCCGACCTCCGCATGCCCTTCTACACCGAGCTGCCCAAGGCCCTCATGTTCTACTGGATCACCAAGGTACACACACTCACCTCACTCACACCCGTCCATCGGTGGCAGGCAACAAGATGGCTGTGTGGTGTGGTGTGGCTGGGTGTGGTGTGCGTGTACTGACTGCAGGAGGACCGTGACGAGCTGGACCACGGCACTCTGGTGTCGTGCAGGCTCGCCCGAGCCAGCGAGAAGGACACCACCAACACGGCACAGAAATCAGACCAAATGAGAGGGGTACGCACCGCGCGCCTTCCCACCCCACCGCCACTCCCACCCCTCACCCCTCACCCCGCGCCGCATTATCGCGTTGTCCGGTCCGTGCTGTGTGTGTTTGTCTGTCGTGTGTTGTGCAGGAGATGTACGGGCTGCAGCTGCAGGTAGTGATAGAGTCCAACGACCTGGTGGTGGGCATCCGTGAGACCGACATGTGCATCTACCTGGCCGAGATCCTCGAGAGGAGGAAGGACCCCGACTGGCTCAACCTGGCACAACAGGGCCTACGCACCGCCTCCATGCGACGGACACCTAGTGAGGAGGAATGAGGAATATAAGGAGCAATGGAGCACCCATGGCTGTGTGTGTGTGTGTGTGTGTGCAGGTTCCCGTCTTAAGGCAGTCGAAACGTCGCTCATTTTCAACCACAAGCTCTTCGGCGACTCCATCAAGAAGTACCTGCCAGAAGGTAGGTATCAACCAACGCACACGTGCACACACACACACGCAGTCTGCCTGTGAAGTGAATGGGTGGCCTCCATCTCATCTCCCCTCTGCCTCATCTATCTGTCCGTCTCCTCTGGCAGGTTCCATTCTGGACGGCCGAATCGAGGTGATATCCTTCGATCCTCCCGAGAGGATCCGTCAATCGCACGGACAGATGGTGCCGCTGCAGAAGTTCACCCCCGACGGCCGCAGGCGCCAGAGCTTTCTTATGACGGCATACTTCTCCGAATTCCTCAGCAACGACAAACTCCAGTACACTCAGACAGAGACACGGAGCGGGAGGGATGGAGGGTTGCAATATGCTATATCTTGTCGTTTGTCTGGCTTTGGTGTGTGCAGTGACTTCTTGGAGTGCTACGAGCGTCACAAGATCGACATCCACGAGTTCCCCACTAAAGCAGGCGCATACAGCGAGCTGGACCAGCAGCAAAAGTGAGCTGGCACACACCCCGCCATCGATCCATCCATCCATCCATCGATGTGTTTGTGTGTGTCGATTCCAACAGGGCGGAGGGTCGTCCGCTTGCGCGTCGCAACATCCACCACCCGCACTACAGACCATGGACTGAGGAAAAGGTCAACAAAGCAGACACGCCCACCCAACCGCCCACATGCACTCCCCTTCCTCCCTCCCTCCCTCCCTCCCTGCGTCACTCACCCCTTCCTCCATGCAGAGTCACGAGGAGCTGTCCAAGGACGAGCACCCTGTCGGGCAGTGGTACGTGCGGCCGACCCAGGGCACCGGCCTCTTTCTGGACCTCAAGGTGTCCAAAAACCCCAACGTCATCGAAACCTTCCGAATCAGTGAAGACAAACTCCCCGGCAGAGGTAGGTAAAGGGACGATGAGATGGTGGGCTGGGCGGGGCGGCTGATTGATGGATCACCTGCCCTTGACGTGATGTGGATGGGTGGGTGGATGGCTGCAGGCGAGTTGGGTCACGAGTTGCGTCTAAGGTCACATTTCAACCCGGGCGTGTTGAGGGATCTGGACCAGCTGAGCTCTCAGTTCATCGAGCCCCTCACACAGAACCTGGAGCAGGTCTACAGCCATGAGGTGGGTGAGTGCGTCCCGTGGGCCACACCCATGTTAACAAAGGCATGATGGGTATCGTCCGTCCGTCATCAGAAATTTGTGGATCGTTACCGGACTGTGGATGGCGATCCGTCGAGCGAGTCGCCCTACGTGGATGGCCTGCGGGCTAAGCTGACCGACGACGACGCGTACGAGATTGGGGCACAGATGAAGAGCAGATGGGGCATCTGCAGGACCGACAGGGTGAGTGTTTCCCTCCCTCCCTCCGCCCCTGCGCCCCTGCACACAGGCAGTGTGTCTTGTTCATTTGTGTGTCTTGTTCATGTGTGTGTGTGTGTGTGTGTGTGTGTGCTGTCTAGTCCAAGGTGCAGACGCCTCTGACGTTTATCTTGGGCATCGTGCCCCAGCCCGAGAACAAGGACGTGCAGGACTACGACCCCATGCGCATGTCGCACAGGGGGTTCAAGCTGTGGACACATGTACGCCACGCCACACACACTGACACCCCACGCACCTCCAGCCCCCACCCACACACGCACGTGCCTCTGCTGTGTGGTCAGGAGGAGAGGACGCTCAAGGACCTCATTGCGTGGTGGAAGCGCGAAGGATACACCAACGTAAGAAAGACCTCCCCACCCTCACACACACTCATTTGTCCCCCATTCATTCGCACCACTCACTCCTGTGTGTGTCTCTTGTGCTTGTGTCTGTCTATCGCAGAAATACACGGAGCGTGACAAGTGGACCAAGGAGGAGGAGGCCCGGCGGCTGCAGCGGGAGCAGCTCATCCAGAAGCAGGAGGAGCTCGAGCAGCAGCGCATGAAGAACGTCAACCCACAGTACTACAACCTCTTCGGCACCGCTGTCGTCGGCGCCAACATACACCCGCAGACCGTCTACCAGGCATACGACCCCGTAAGAAGCCACCCAGCCATCCAGCCATCCATCAATCCGTCGATCTCAATGCATGGCTCTCTCTCTGTCCTGTGTGTGTGTGTGTTGTGCAGAATGGTCCTCCTGCCCCGTCTGCCCGTCCAATGGGCTACAGCCAGTACGCCGCCCCTCCTGTCCAGCAGCATCAGCAGCAGCAGCAGCCATTCGTCCCCGGCCTCGCACACGCCTACAACAGCGCGCAGCAGCCCCCAGCCATCGGCGGCGGCCTTACCGGCCACCAGGCCCTCGACATCGCCAGGCGGCTCCCCGCAGACTCGCACAAGCCACGCCCTCGTGGACCCCCCCAGCAGCCGTCCACCTTTGCAGACCAGTTCGGGCCGGCACCTGGCCTGGCCCCCCCATCGAACTCTGGTGGGCAGCGATCCAGCATGGCTGTCCCTCCAGCTCCGTCATCACAATTCTCAGGCGGTGGATCGGCGAGTGGGGGATATGGCCGTGGTGGTGGTGGTGGTGGTTATGACAACCGTGGTCGTGGAGGTGGAGGTGGCGGCTATCGGCCGTCAGGTGGGGGAGGGAGAGGAAGGGGTGGTCGGGGAGGTCTGGACCGCGGCTTTGTGAGAGCTGAGAGGCAGGGCGGCGGGTACGGCTACAGAGAGAGAGAAAGGGACACCGGCGGTGGCGGTGGGGGAGGCCGTGGGGGGTACGGCTACAGAGAGAGGGAGAGGGACACTCGTGCTGCTACTGGTGCAAATGAGGTTCCCCTCGGTCCTGGAGGTGGGTGGAGGGGGCGAGGAGGCGACACCCGCAATGGCACTGACAGAGGAGGTCAGGGACATCCGAGAGAGGCAGGCAGGCAGGCAGGCACATCCATCCCCGTCACCAAATGTCGGTCCTGTCCTCTCTGTCTTGTCTTGTTGGTTCAGGCTATGCTGGTCGTGACAGCGGCCCTCCCCCCTCACGAGAACCCCCCGCCCCTCCGCCATGGGCTGTGAAGCCGTCCAATGGGCCACCTGCTGCCGCATTTCCTGGTGCTGCTGCTAGTGGCGGTGGACCCCCTGGCGAGCCGCCGAAAGCTGCTGCTGGTGGTGCTTCCAAACAGGCCGCCTTTCTGGACGACAACGACGACAGCTGGGAGTGAAGGAGAGTGGATGTGGTGGCGTGGGTGCGCTGCTACTGTGGTGTGTAAGTGCGTGCCTTGTGTAACCGTGCTGGTGGGTGGTCGATGTGAGTGACGCGTGAGTGGCTGTTTTAAACACACATGATGGACAGACGCTGCGTGTGGACATGTGGGCTGTTTGTCATGGAGTGCTTATTAATCTTGTGGACGCTCACCCCGTCGGCTCAATCGTACGTGTCACCACACGCACACACACACTCACACGCATCCGGACACTGTGTATACAATCCTCAGTCAGTCAGGCAATCCGTTGTGTGTGCATCCATCAATTGCTGCCATCCTCCCCTCTGTCCCCTCTGCTCTCACTCTTGCCCCCACCACCCACACCCGCCCTCCCCTTGTATGTGTGCTGCTGTTGTTGCTGCTGCTGTCGCTGGAGTGCCGTCCTCGCCTCGAGCATGGTAGCCACGCTCAGTGGCGGCCGCCCGGTGAAGACCTGGGGGGTGGATGATGAGGGCGGCAGGGCGATATCGGGACGCGAGGGGCGGGAGGCTGACTGCGTCATCAGCTCCATTGTCACCGACCTGCACCGAATAGACGCGGGTTGTCGTCTTGCATGCATATGATGGTTGCCAACTTACTGCAGCCTCTCCTGCAGTTTGCGTATCTCATCGTCCCGTATCTGGACCATCTGCTCCACCGCATACTCCTGAGAGGGACACCCGTCCAACGTCCATACTTGTGTGTGTATGCCGTGGTCACCTGTGCCTCTAGGGCCGTCCACTCTGCGTCGAGAATATCATCCCGATCCGTCGCATCTACGCGCCAACACACCGGCAGAGGGAGAGAAAGAGCAGGAGCGAAATGTGTGTGTGAGGTTGTCTGTGGATGAATGGATGTCCATACGCACATGTGAGTGAGGGGTCATCTTCCAGCTGCCGCATGGCCAGCTCCCGCTGCTCCACCTCTCGATGCATCGCCTCCAGGGAGCCATACTCGCTCTCAAAACTCTGCATGCATCCGCACACCCAACACAGCAGCAATGTGTCCCGGCATCCATCCGTCCATCCATTCATATCAGTACCTCATTATCCACCCGCATCTTCTCTCTATCGTCGGCTATCTTGGCCTCCCACCTCTCCAGCTCCCTCCCCCACTCCTCCCGCTGCCCACGCCTCTCCAACACCTGACGCGCCACCTGCTCCTCACGCCCACCCAGCAAACGGCACTCACGCTCGTCAGCCATCGCCTGACTCCTCCTCTCATCAATGTCAGCCTTCTTCGCACACAGAATGGCCTCTCTCGGGGAAATCTGCTCCTCCAGCCGCTTGGTCTGCTCAAGAATGGCGCACAGCTCGGTTTCCAGCGCCGTGATGTCAGCTTGGATTGTGGTGACGAGAGCCTGATGGTTGGAGAGGCTGGCTTTGGTGTCCTGCAGGGCAGCCGCCTCCTTGTCGACGGTGGACTGCAGGTCGGCGATGGCCTGCCGGTCCTCGTCGAGGGCCTTGGCGGTAGCGGCGGTCTTGTCCAGCTGCTCGTGCAGGTGGATCTCTTTCTCTTGCAGGCGGACCAGCTGACGCACACACAGCCAAAAGAACCATATGGATGAATGGATGGATGGACAGATAGCTTGTAGAGCAGTGTGGCACATACTTGCGATTTGACTGCGTCCATTCTGGCGGCCATGTCCTCCTGGCGCCTCTTGTGCATGGCGTCCGCCCGCTTGAGCAGCTCCTCCCTCGCAGCAAAGTCCGCCCGCATGCCCTCAAACTCCTTCTGCTGCGCCGCCAAGGCCGCCTCCCTCTCCTCGGCCACACACACGGTGGTATCCCTGGTGTGCTCCCGCTGCTCGACCACCGACAGACGCCCGTTCAGCTGCATCGCCTCACGGATCACCGCAGCGCGGTCACGCTCCACCTTGCGCATCACGGCAGGCCGGCAGCGGCAGAACTTGGCCTTTGTGGCTTGGGATTCCAGCGATGCGGCCTTGGGCGCCTGCTGGTGCTGCTGGTGGTGGTGGGAGGGATGCGTCATGCTGTTTGCAGCAGCGGCAGGTTGCGAAGGATGGGATGGCGTGGGAAGGCGGAGATTGGGGCGGTTCGGCTGCATGATATAACGAGTGATCTAGCCAACTTCTGGATGCGAATTTACATCATGAGTGTGGGACCATCACTCTTGCCATGGCGTCGGCTGCCCATGATGGCAGTCACCCCGCCACACCCCACAACCCCAGGCAGCAGCAGAACCCTCCCCAGCCCTCTGCTCGCCCTGCTGACCATCGTAATGCCTCTGAGTCAGTCCAGCAGCAGCTGCAGCAGCAGGAGCTGTCGTACCTGCCCACACCCAGTATGGAGGAGCCGGCCGTCACCGACAAGACCGACAAGACGGCAGACAAGCCACAAGCGGAGCCGTCGCCCGCACCAGCTCCAAAGGATGAACCAACTGAGCCCGCCACCGTCAGCCCACCAAACGAAGACGCCGATGAGGCCAACGACGCAGTGCCAATGACGAGGGAGGGTGGCAACGGTCAGGGCCGCCGCAGTGCAGTGGAGCCTGCAGCTGCTGGTGTGGAGCAGCCGGTCGTCATCCCCGCTGCTGCTGGTGTTGGTGCTGCGAGGGGACGCGTCGTCGTCGAGGACGCCCAGGCGTCCATCCGCACCAAAGACGGCAGAGAGCCGGTGAGCACTGCATGTCTTGGGATGGGGATGAGCAATTTGGTTCTGAGTCTGGAACCTCTTGGTCCATGTGTTTCGTTGCATTTCGGCTGTGCAGATGAAGCGGCGCCTGACCCAGCAGCAGTGGGAGGACGTCGTGATCGAGTGCCGCGTACGTATGCACACGTCATGTCCACAGGGAAGGGGTGCAGCTGCACAGACCTTGATGACATTGTGTGTCTTGTTCTCTTTGTGTACCTACCGCTGCAGAGGGCCGTGGCCAAGGCCGTCGAGAGCACCACCCTGTGCGTCGACAGCACCATCCCCACTCGTGAGGGGCTCCACGGGTTTGTGGAGGTGCTGTACGACACCACCACCAAAAGGCGGCTGGCTTACAAGATCTTCAAACACTACGAGTGCGACGGCCGGGTATGAAGAGCGAAGAGTACCAACGGGGATTCCTGCATGTGTGAAGGTGCGGCTCCCCTTTGTGTGTGTGTGTGTGTGTGTGTGCAGGATGAGGAGGGCTTCGTGATTAACGGGTGGGACCTGGCCGCTGCCGTCGACGTGCAGCATGACAACGTCATCGCCGTCCCCCGCACCCTCAAGGTGCGAAGCCGTCACGCCACCGTCAAGGTGGTCGTGATGGCTTTCTGCAACGGTACGTGGCAGAGATTCCGAGCAATGCGATCGTCCATCGGTGCACACACATACTCTTCGCTTCTCGTTTGTGGTCACTCACCTTCAGGCGGCACGTTGGCGGACGACGGCTTTGTCGACGTGCTGGGGGAGGAGAGGGAGCCGGTGCTGATGCCGCTGCTGCGGCAGGCCCTGCAGGGCCTCCTGCACCTCCACAGCAAGCGGCTCTGCCACACCGACATGCTGGTAGGTGGAAGAACGACTCGCATATTCATTGGTCCACGCTGACTCACAGCGCTCTCATTGCGTGGTTCAGGGGGCCGAGGACTGCCCCGGCGGGAATCTGGCCCTCAGCATCGACACCGTGTCACGGGAGGGGAGGCTGGTGATAATCGACCTCGACAGGATGGAGCAGCACGAGGAAGCGGAAGAAGACGACTTCGTAAGTCCATCAGCCAGGATTTGGAAATGGGACGCTAATCACTTTCCCCTTTCGTTGCTCTCTGCCTGTCTGTCTGTCTGTCTGTGTATGGGTGAATGTTTGCAGCGATACGAGACCAAAGCTGACTCCAAGGCTGTCGGGTTCGTTTTCGACCACCTGCTCGGGGACAGGAAGGTGATATACACACACACGGCAGAAGCGCCGGCATGAGTGCACACTTCATCAATACCATGAATGCGTGCAGAGCGAGGAGGGCGAAGAGATAGTGCACCGCCTCAAGGGCGCCATCTACAGAGCTGAGCAGGTGAGGACACAGAGGCTCGCCTAACCACACATCCACACATAGGTGTGGTTTACCCTGCACACACCGGGTTGCCTGTGTCTCTGTCGATTTCATTCACTCAGGCCGTCGAAGAGATCAACGACTACTGGATGCCCAAGCACGGCCACCGGGCGTCCACAAAGGTGGACTTCGTCCCCCTCCCGCCCCTGCCCAAGAAGTCCTAGCTGAAGCCGCTGTCATCGTCCCCCGCCGCCCCGCCCGACACACCGCCCCCCCAGTGGGTAAAGCCCCACAGGGCGGCCATCCCCACACACGAGGAGCTGCGGAGGAGGGAGGAGAGGGCGTGGAGGGGCAGGTGGGATGGCGGCATGGTCAAGGGGGCGACGGCCAAGGTGGACACAGGCCTGCGCCGGCCAGCGGCCCGCCCCCCACCAGCCCGCCCCAGCCCCAGCCGACAATAAGAAGGAGATGGAGAGCGGTCCGCCTACACAATCGCAGCAACAGGGGCTGACTGCGCATGTGTGAGTTTGTCTGGGTGTGAGTTTGTCTGGAGGAGTGCTTGGCTGTGAGTGTGCCGCGTGTGGCGGTTGAGACACCGGAGTTTGGAGCCATGATGGCAGTGGTATGAATGCTTTGAAAAAGTGAGATTCAGTCCATTCACAAAACACCACGATCGACCGTCCCGTCACAGCACGTCTCAACACGCCACCCAAACCCACAGAGATACACACCCACACACACACACGCGGCAGGCAGCACTCTCAAAACCAAAAGCCGCCCTGCTGCCTCGAAAAGAAAACCCGTCACGTCAGCCGGCCAGCCAGTCTGGGTTGCTCTGCCCACCAATCAGTCACCCCGCCCCCCCCTCTCCCTCTCTCCCTCCCTTCTACGTGTGGATGAATTCATGAATGTATCCATCTGTGTGTGTTCTTTGTATCGTGTGTGTCCTGGGTATTGAGCATTGGTATGTGTTGCGTTAGTTGGTTAGTTCTCTTCTGCTGCTGAGAGAGCGGCTGCGGCGGCCGCGGGCCCCTCGGCGGCGGGCGACTGCTGCTGGGTGGCGGAGCGCACCACGTGGTCGAAGTACTGGGGTGCCTTCTCCCGCAGTCCAGCGATCTTGTTGGAAACGCCGAAGATGTCCTTGAACCAACTCAACTCACCCTGCACGCAAGCACAACACACCACAGCCCGCCACTCTCTCTCAGTCTCTCTCTCTCCTTGTGTGTATGTGTGTGTCGTGTGGGTACCTGAGTGGTGATAGTATGCAGCCCGCCGTCGAACCCCTCTTGCTGGGGCTCGGGAGGCTCCAGCTGGGCCTCGTACTCCTTCAGAATCTGGCGCGCCTCCATATCGCTCCATTTGGCTGCAGTCACAGTGCATCCACCCATCCAGGAACAGAATGGATGTGTGTGTGTTTGTGTGTGTGTGTGTTGGTGTGTGCGGCTCGGCTGAGTGGCTTACGTCCGCCAGATGGTGGCGGTGTGCGGTCTCGTGAGTTGGTGTTCTTGCGCGCCCTGATCTGCTGCCTGCATTTGTCGCACAGACACATACACACACACATTGTGTCTGTGCTGGCTCTCGTCCCCCTCTCTCTCTCTGTGTGTGTGTGCGTGTGTGTGTGTGTATGTGGTTGGTGGAGGGGTGGGGCTTGATGTATGTGCAGACGCGTACAAACAGAAGTATGAGTCGCGGTCCAGATGCGCCAGCGCTATCTCATTCGAACCAATCCTGCAAAGGCACAAAACACCTCAGTGAGACAAATTGCCGGCATACACACATGCGGCCATCGTCTTCCCTTGCTCTCTGTTCTCCTCCGTACCCACACTGCCGCCCCACGTCCGTCCACACTCGACGGTCGGCGGTGGTGAGGTTGGGCCGGTCGACGATGACCTTGTGGCAGTGGCCCGTCTCCGACAACAACTCCTGCACCTCTGGAGCCACACACACACACACACACACACACACAGAGAGAGAGAGAAAGGGGAGGGATTGACACTCACGGGATGGATGGCTGGAGTGTCGGCTTACTGGTTATGCATGCCTGGTCGTCCTTGACCTTTCCTGTGATCGAGACCATCTTCCACCCGCGCTCGGCGAACGAACGGGCCAGCAGCGTCTTGCCTGACAAACATATACACACGCATACCAGAATACCCATAAATTCGCCATCCCTTGGTCCATCCGTGTGTGTGTCTGTAGTGTACCTGCGCCCGGGTAGCCCATGAGGACCAGCAGCCTGATGTTCTGCGTCTGCAGGAACCGCAGCAGCAGGGCCTTCTCCGCAGCGTCGAGTGCGTCCTCCTGCAGCACCACCAGGGCGTCGTGCACCTTGGCCTTGAGCTGCTCTTCGCTCCCCAGCAGCACCAGCAACTCAGGGGTGTCCATGTCCATCATCATGCCAGTGATCTGACACACACACATCCGTCACACACACATGCGCTGTGTCCATCCATCCAGCCATCGGGTCTGGTGTGGCCGTGAGGTGAGCTGAGGTGCGCATTTCACTGCACCTTGGCGGCGAGGTCGGGATGTCGTTTTGCGATGAGTGTGTGGAGTTCCTCGCCGAGGATGGCCTTCTGTTGGTCAGCCAGGGAGGCACCGAGGCCACCCACAAACGCATTATCCACCTGTACACACGTCATCCACCCACGCGCAGGACGAGCAATGTGTGTGTGTCCATGTATGGGCCTTAGTTGATAGTCCCTCTCAGCGTGTCTCTGCCCGCCTTCTCTTCCTGCTCACCGGCGACAGTTGGTTGGCAGCCTGGCTGCTTGACGCGCTCGCTTCGTCAGCCTCACCCCCTCCCACACCCCCAGCACCATCCCCACTGCCGACCCCACCGCCGCCCCCGCCGCCCATGGACATGGTGGTGCCCGTCGGCTGTCCCGGCTGGGTCAGGGGCGCTTGACCCTCTGGGTCTGGAAGGGCGACAGGGATTCCGCTCCTGAACGACACGCCCCCAATGAAGAACAAAGACAGGCATGGTATGGATGGCTGGATGGATGGATGGATGGCTGGATGGATGGATGGATGGATGGATGGATGGACGGGCCGTGTCCGTTGGGTGACCGTGTTGTGTTGTGTTGTGTTGTGTATGTACCGTCGAACACCCGCATGATGGAGTCGATCATTTCGTCCGTGAGGTGGGTGGCCTTGTGGAGCTTCTTGAACCTGGCGCTCTTCTCCTGCGGGTCCACTGATGCCATCTTGATCCTCTTTATCTCCGCCCACAGCTGTGCCGCCTTATCCTCAGCCGCCGACCTCTTCATCGCATCCCTCTCGGCTGCATACCACAGCACCACAGAAAGCGCCACTGCAACCCTTATCTGCCATGGATACTGATGCACTTCCGTGCTCACCTTTGGCCTCGGCCCTGCGCCTAGCTGCCGCCGCGAACAGATTCGGCGCCGGGGGAGCCACGCCCTTCTTCTTGTAGGAGATACACAGCCGCGACATGGAGAAACACCAACAAGCTAAGAGAACTCCACAATGCTACCTGCAACCACATGTACATTCAGAGATGCACCCACAGAAGATATGTATGGATGGGATCTCGGTGATCTTGGCGTATTCGTCCGGCTTTCGGGCGCACATGTGTGTGAGCGAGTGTGAGGCGTGCATTCTCACCGGCGATGCTGTTCTCGCGCAGAAGGGCGGCCTTGCTCTTCGGAGAGCCGGTAGGGCAGCCGTTTGATGGGACCCGTCAGTGCAACGACTGCTGCCTGCAGCTGGCGAGGGAGGGCACTCCAGGCAGACGGATATGAAGCCTTTCGGGTGGTGGAAAAGGCCCGCCGATGTGAGAATACGACAGAATGGGAGAGCCTCACTCCTCTCCTCCCGTCTGTGCGCGTCTGCGCCTTTTCCTCTCACCCCGGATGCGAGCTGAAACCCTAATCTCGACAACCCGAGACGGCGACAAGAAAAGGTGACGAAGTGTTATCATGCCCATCGTTTTTCGCTCTCGTGCGATGAGAAAAACCTGCCACTGCCCGCAGGATGGCGCCTTCTGAGGTACTTTCTCCCTCGAACCCGTCACTCTTCAGCCGCGCCATCAGCTGTGCCGGACCGAATGCCCCAAGATCACCGAGATCCCATCCATACATATCTTCTGTGGGTGCATCCCTGGCTGTACATGTGGTTGCAGATAGCATTTCAGAGGTACAGTAGCGTTTGGGTGGCGTTTTCGTAATGTCGCGGTCCTCTGCCCCTTTCCCAGTCCTCGCCGCCCGGCTGCAGAAGGACCCGGCACGTCGACACATGAGCAACGCGCAGAAGAAGAAGCAGTCCCAGGGTGAGGCGGGTGGGTTGGGCGGCTTGCGTGACCATTCATGTGGCCATCGGCGGCTGTTCTCTGTCTGCTCTGTAGCCAAGTCGCGTGCTGTCCGCGAAGCTGAGGCCGAGAAGCTGGCGGCACAACAGTGGGCGGAGATAGACAAGATCGCGGAGGCGTCAGTGGACCTCAAGGAGACGCGGGAGAGGTGGCGGGAGATCGACCAGATCAAGACGGCCGCCAACATGAGCATGAAGGAAAAGGGCGAGGCGTTCAAGCGTCTCAATAGCGGCACCCATCTCACCGACGAAATGATACAAGATATCATCAAGTTCTTCGTCGGTACAGAACCATCAGTCAGTCAGTCCATCCATCCATCCATCCGTGTGTCATGCCTGTGTTTCTTCATCGTGTGTGTGCTGTTCGCAGGGTGTGAGCACCTCTCCCCGTTCAAGAAGCAGCAGCTCAAGGCGGCACCCTGACCTGGCCGGCAAGGTCAGGAGATACACACACCTCACCCCCCACACACACCACGCCAGGTGTAACTCACCGCTGCTGCTGGTGTTGGTGCCGGGAGGGCACGCATATGGGTGTGGTTTACCCTGCACACACCGGGGTTGTCTGTGTCTCTGTCGATTTCATTCACTCAGGCCGTCGAGCAGATTGACACCAGATGGATGCCCAAGCACGGCCTGCAGGCCGTGACGAAGGACAGCGCCACTGAAGCCTCTATCGTCGCCTCGCCCACCACTCCGCCTCAGCCCGCCGACACAGCAGCATTGCTGCCTACATTTCTTATCCCATTGTCTGTGTTCTTTCCTGTATCCATTTCTGTTTGTCGCAGTTAGTTGTTGGGGCACCACACGGATGGCTGTCCAAGATCTCCTTAGGGAGAAGGGCATCGGGATGGCGACCCACAATGTGTGATCACGACGAAAAGATGTCACGCAGCCACACACGCACCTGCGATGTCATTCTGTTGCGGTTGCAGGCTGCGCCTTTTGCTCTTGGTCCGGGACTCTCAACTTTGGGAACTGATGGCCGGGTGGACAGATGTATGCGTGTATGGCTGCTGGCAGTAGACGTGAGGGAACTCAGCCAAAGGATGGAAAGATTGCGGACGAGAAGACAAGTGTGTGTACGATAAGGGAAAGGGAATTAAGGGGGAGCGTCGGTCTTCTCTCGTGTTTTGCCGTGGGGGGCCGTCAGACAGACGAGCAGTCGCCACTGCTGCTGTCGCGAACAGCCCGCGGTGTCTCCGATGGCGGTCGTACGCGTCTCTCCGTCTGTGAGCAGCTGAGTGGCGCTTCCTTCTTGACGGCAAGAAGAGTGCGTGGGTGGGTGGGTGGGTGGGTTGAGGTGTTGGTAGATGGAGCGAGGCGATGTGTGACATGTGGTGGCGAGGCGATGTGCGTGTGCATGTGCATCTTGGATATGACCTGCAGGTGGGTGTTTGCGTCAGTGACGTTAATCTAATCCCCCTGCATTTCTGTTGGGTTCGGTGTGTGTGTGTGTGACCGGCGGGGAGGGTGCGAGATCAGATCGTCATGTGTGTGCGACTTTCGCTCAATCGTCTCGACTTGTGCTTGACTGACCTGAATATCGTACAAGTAAGTCATCTAAACACGCACACATATATGTGAGTATGAACTGAACAAATCGTTCGACGGAAAACGGCACACTGTAGACGTACAGACGGTTCGCCCTCCACTACAGTACCACTGCCACCTCGTGTGGTGCACACAAGGAATTAGTTAGAATAAGGGTGGCAGCCTTATGACAGCCAGCATGAAAAGGGCCACCAGGACCGCAGCGACACCACCGCCCACCACCGTTACGTTACAGCGACTGCCAAAACTCTGACACCCCATTTCTTCAGAGGCTCTGCACACACACACACACACACACACGAACACACATATATGCAGAGAGAGACAGAGAGAGAGCCGTGTGTGTGTGTGCGAGTCTGCGTGCCTTCTGTCTGCATGACGAGCTGCTGCCGCCATTCAAAGAGGGATGAAGCCCATGTCCTTCGCGAGTGCATCCAGCTGCCGGTCCACCTCAGCTATCTCCCTGTACACATCGACCTTCACACACACACACACACACACAGCCGTACTCCGGCATCTCATCTCGCTTGACCTCACCGACCTTGTCGGATCTCATCGCAACGATGTGGTTGGCACGACGGCTGGGGCGGCCGGGTGTGTTGCGGGAGAGGCGGACTGCCGGCGGGTGCACGCACAGCAGCAGATCTCAGCCAGGGGAAGAACAAGAGCATGACCAAAGAGGATCAGCACCAAGACGGACAAGCTCCACATCAGTGCAACAAGGCCGTCGTCGTCAGAAGTCGGCTATTGATCAGCTGCAGGCCGCTTGACGCAAGAACAACAATGGGCGCGAAGAATCTCATCTTGCTGGTGCGTCCATCACAACCGCGCTCACTGTCGGCAGAGCACACACACACACACACACACACACACACGCCTAGAGGGCCAATGTCAGATCTTCGTCCCATGCCGGATTTGCTCTGGACTCGCAACCCAGTAATAATAATCGCTGCTCATCATCCCAACATACATAAACACTCGCTGTCGGTGATTATTGCTGCAATGGCCGAGCTCATGGAAGGAAAACCCCATAGAGCCCGCGGAATGAGTGGTGGATGTGTGTCGCTGGTTGGATGCTGCTGCTCGGGCAGGCGCCGCACACGCAATAGTCAGGGACCGAGAAAGTCTCACTGGTGCATACTGCATCAGCGAGAAAGCAACACGCACCGCTGCCTGCGTCCATCCATGCAGCTATGTATACATTAGCATGCAAGTCATGCGGTCGGTCGGTCGGTCAGTCAGTCAGTCATGCGCGCAGCCTGTGACGCAGGCACATTTGCAGGCAGCAGCACGACATGCCACACCACACCGATAGACAGCCAAAGATGTACACAATGATGTATGTCGGTGGGATGTCCCGAACCCAAAAAAGAAATGACAGCAACGCTCTCACCCAAACACCCAAACGTCCACCTCACTCACTCACTCACTGACGTGACAACGGCACGCCAAACCACAGCTGGTCATCCATCCATCCGCCCCCCCTCTGACCGCCGACTTGATGGCCGTTTCCGCCCCCCCGCCCTTGATCTCGGCCGTCAGCCACTGCCACCGCATGCTGAGGTCTTGTTTGGCCGATCTGACCTCCCAAAGCCCCGGATGGCTACTGCTGGGCTGCCACAACTCCCAGACCCCGTTGATGGGGTTCCAGACCCACCCGCCGTGGATTGGCCGCCCGCCCACAGTGACCAGCTTGGCCTGGCCGGGCGTGTACGGCAGCTCGTGTGCGGGGATGAGCCTGGTGGGGTCGTTGGGGTCGACGGTCATGGGGATGAGGATGGGGGGAGGTGCTGCTGCTGTGGTGGCAGGTGGGGGTGGCGGTGTGGGCGGTGGTTGGGCCGGGAAGCCCACATGGTGTGGCGTTATCTCGGGCAGCTGGGCTGGGGGCGGGCCCTCGTCCACGACGGCGGCATTGTCGTCCTCTATCTCATCATGACCCCCACCAGCAGTGGGGCCTTGAGTAGGTGTTGGTGACGCTTCGGCAGCGAACGAGGAGGCGGCGTTCACCTCTTCTGTCGCCTCCACATCACCCCGAGGCAGCTCGGCGGGCACCATGCTGATGCGATGGTAGGAGGGGAGTGGGGGGGAGGGGGCTGTCGTGTCGTCCATGGCGGCCTTGGTTTCCTGGAGGACGGTGCGGGCCGCCCGGAGGTTGCTGATGACGTCAGCCATGGCGCAACGGCTGCAGGGGTCGGTGCAGATGCCCTCGGCTGAGATGGCCGCCACCTGCCCCACCCACTTGTCCACCCAGGCGAAGGCGGACTCGCCCCTGAGGCTGTAGAGTGGGCAGGCCAAGTAGCGGTCACGTTGCTCCTCGCCCCATAGATAGTGGTCCAGGCCGTCCAGCAGTGGCCGCCCCTTCTCCGTCATGGCCGCCTCAGACACGACCTCCCAGCACACCGTTGTGAAGAGGTCTTGGTCGCTGTCGTTGCCTCCGTGGATCTCGAGCTGGGGCAAGAGGGGCAGGAAGCCCCGCAGGACGCGCTGGGTGAGCTTGGCGAAGCTGTAGATGGCAGTCCGCTCTCCCAGCAGCACCCGCTCCCTCTCTCCCTTGCCCACCAGGACGCCCCTCTCCCTCAGTCCCTCCTTCATCCCCTCCACTGCCTGCTCCAACGACACCTCCTCCTCTCCTACCGTGGGCAGCATGGACTCCTCCGATGGCCACCTCCCGTTGACGAGCAGCTGCTCAGGCGGCCGCTGATATGGCGTGCCCGCCGGCATCATCCGCTGCGCTCGCTGCCTGCCGCGGTCGAGGGGCACCATCGCTCCCGGCCCGCCAGGAAGTCGTCGGCGGAAGAGGCTGCTCAACTTCCGCGGCCTCACAACGACGCTGTTGGCGAGGTCTATGATGCGGGTGGCTTCGGCTGCTGGGGGTGTGGGTGTGAATGGGTCGGGGGAGAGGGCTGACCATGCGATGAAGATGTTGGCTATGAAGGCATCCAGACAGAAGACACCCCTCGAGAGCGCCTCCATGTGGGCCTCAGCGGTCAGCTCGAGCGCCTTGTTGAGGACAGTGAGCTCGCCGATCAGCAGCCTCTCTGCGGCCGCTGCTCCATCGGCGTCGCGGCGCTCCAGGTAGCGGTGCACGACCTCCTTGAGCCTGAGGCGGTCGTGGTGGAGGCGGTCCTTCTGGGGCCGCAGGAGTTCTTGCAACTCCACCCACACGCCATCTGCAGACACACAGGACAACACACCACCACACAACATGTCTGTTTGCAGTGCATTCGTGAACGTGTCGCCAACTCACCCTGCAGCAACTCCATCGCCAAGCACACGCACGGCACCCTCTCGCCCTCCTCGGTGACGAAAGTCCCCGGCCCCGACGCCAGGCACTTGAGGAAGGGAGGCCGCCCGCCGAAACGGCGCATGCGGTCGGCCTCCACCTCCATCTCGAGCTTCCTCCTCTCGCTGAAGTCCTCCCCCTCCTGCCCCTCCAGCAACGCTATTTTAAACACCGCCTCGCGTGGCGCCTCGAGGCTGAAGTATTTCGGCGGGAGGACGCCTCGGTAGACAATGGCAGTGCCGCCCTCGCCGAGTTTGGAGTCTTCGTCGAATGCGATGGGAGGGCGGCGCTCCAGGATGAGTGTGCAGGGCATTTTGCGGTGCTGCTGCTGTCGGCTGCTGTTCCTTCGGGGTTGCACGGGGAATTTTGCAACTGTAAGGCGGGAAGCAATAGGCGAGATGTTTTGAAAGATCTCGCCGCGCGACTGTTTAAACCCTGCAAACCCTACCAAAGAAAACGCCTAATGGTAGCGTACGCGTGCGCAGCACAGCGATCGCGTACATACGCGCCGCGTGCGAGAGCGACCCGATCGACATCACACCGTCTCCAGCTCGCATCTGCGCCTGGCAGGCAAGCGCATCCAAGTGATTTTTCGCACTTTTACACCGTCAAATGTATCACCATGAGGTCCGCCATAGCCATGGTGACACTTCTGATGCTAAGGGCAGCCGCCTCGAAGAAGCGGCATGAGACGCGCCAGACCCGCCCCGCCGAGAACACCACGTTGCCGCTGCCAGTGTGCCCCGCCAACGCCTCCATCAACATCACCCACCCGCCCCCGGAGGCCGAGGAAGAAGACGACAACCAGGGGCACCCTGGCGACGAGGGAGGAGGGGCCACCGGCTCGGGAGCAGCCTTCCAGTTCATCGACTTCGCCGCCGACATCGCCTCCTTGTACCTCATTGGGGGTGCCACAGACGGCGGAGACGGTCCGCCGGGAGGCCAAGGACCTCGAGGTCTGTCGAAGGCGGCGAGGCAGCGGATCACTGCCTTGCTCGCCGTCAAGGTCCTGAGCAGGGACTCTAGTCGGTGGGCGAGGTGGGACAAGAAAATACGCCAGACCCTGAAGGACTTCCTCGCCAACTTGCCCATCAAAAACCCGTTCAAGACACCTCTTTTTAGCCTGAAGAAACAGCACTTCGACAAGGCGAAGTGGATCGTCAACGGCGTCTCCGACCTCCTCACCAGCTTCATGAGCGGCGACCTTAGAGAGCTGATAGTTTTCGCAATGTCCCGTGAGGCGAGAGCAGCAGCTGTCACACAGCGGACCCAAGAACAACAACAACAGCAACAACAGCAACAACAACAGCAACCCAACAACCCAGCCACGGCAGCCGGAGCCTCAGCACTCTCAGCACCGACCCAGCCAACGGGGGACGACGCGGACAGCGCCAATCCGAGCACCGGCCAAGTCGGCGGACCACCCGCAGCCGCAGCGGCAGCCAGCCGTCCGACACAGCAACCGCCAGTCAGGACAACAGAACCCCCACCGGTCGGCTCTAACCGTGCGGCACTGCTTCAAGAAATGCAGGACAACCCGACCGCCATTGAGGCTCTGCAACAAGAACAGCTACAACGGTCGCGAGATGGCGGAAGACCACAGGACGAGTTCGTGATGGACGACAACGGCAACACGATCGGGCGATCAGACCTGACGGGACAGTGCAGGACTTACATGGTTTTGCAATCGACACAGACTACTATATGGGCAATACAAGGCCCAGGCAATGTCCACGGCGAGAGGGAGGCCCAACAGACGGGCACCACCTCCCACTCGTATACCACATAACAATGAACAATCCCACGAGACCCTTGCTGGGGTCGCGAGACAACAGCCACACGCACGGCAACAGCCACGCATACGGCACCCCCCTTGTGGGGTTCACACACCACACGCAAGGCAACCACCTTGCCCCGGGCCTGGCCCCACCACAGACGAATGGCTCCGCCGTTCTACACCCAACACCGCAAGTGAGCGGGACGGGGGAGGAGAAACAACCGAACAGACACGAACTGGTGTCTCTGACCCTACTCTCCGTCAGGGCACGGGCAAAGGTCAGATGCACCAAGACACGAGCGGTCCCGCCTTATTCTTCCCCACACTGCAAGTGAGTGGGATGGGAAAGAAGAAACAACTGAACAGACACGGACTGGTGTCTCCGACCCTACTCGCACGTCAGGGCACGGGCCAAGGTCAGGCATACCAACAAACGGGCCAAGGTCAGGTTTACCAACAAACGAGCGGTCCCGCTTAACTGTTTCCCACACCGCAAGTGAGCGGGCTGGGAAAGAAGAAACAACTGAACAGGCACAAGCTGGTGTCTCTGACCCTACTCGTACGTTAGGGCACCGACCAAGGTCAGGCACACCAACAAACGAGCGGCCCCGCCCTACTGTTTCCCACAACGTAAGTGAGCGGGATGGGAAAGAAGAAACCACTGAACAGACACGGACTGGTGTCTCTGACCCTACTCGTTCATTAGGGCACCGACCAAGGTCAGGTGCACCAACGAACGGGCGATTCCGCTCTACTATTGCCCACACCGCAAGTGAGCGAGACGGGAAAAAAAGAAACAATCGGTCAGACAATGACCCACGTCTCTATCCCTGCTCGTGCGTCAGGGTGTCAACTCTGGCAATATGCGCGGTGAGGGAGTGAGCACGTTGCGACACGGGTTCCTGACGGCGCAGACTTCAGGCCCGAGGTATTCCAACCCGGCCGAGCACGGACCGGCCCCTTTAGCGTGGGGTGCGCCGTCGCTCACACAGCCGGGCGTTACGATAGCCGGCGCGGGCACCTCTGCAACAATCCCCCCGGCATACGGAGTCGGCCAGGGAACTAACCCAGTCCCACTCGCACCGCTGGCACCCAGAGGGGCCCAGGCGCTAGCGGCTCACATAGGGGCCACGCCTTTTGGAACGAACACGGTGCAGGCCGTCCAACCGGTACGCAAACGGACCATCTACCATCAACGCCACTCGCTCAGTGGCTGGCTGGCTGTGTCTCTACCACAGGCGGCCGCTCCAGGCAGCGGCATGTGGTGGATACTAAGAGGCCGACAGGCAGGGCAGCCCAGCCTAACGTCGGACCTGGACGCACTTCTGCTTACCCCGGAGGTAGCAGACAACGACCTCGTCAGAAGGGTGGTGTCCGCGCTACGAGACATCCGCCAAACCGTCTACCAACAAGAGCAGCTACTGAACGGCAATCCACTGCCGTACTACCTCCCGGACCAGCTGCAGCAGTCCCTGGTGGCATGCCTGGCCGTCAATGAGAGGACGCCGGCACAGAAGGACTCGGCCTCAGCCACACAGGGCGACGCCGTTATCCTCACAAACACAGACGCACAGAAGATTACCGCGACAACCGTCCTAGAGGCACTGGAAGTGTGCGACAGCGAGTACCGCGGATCGCACTTCGAACAAGACAGGGCTCAGGCCGACCACTTTGCGGACTTCCGCTCTGCCCTCCAGGCATGCTCGGCGGCCCACTCCCACCGGCATGTGTGGGCAGGGACTGTCGTGGCCGCCATACGGCAGAAGGGAGGGCTGTACTCGGGAACCCGCTACCCAATGACCCTCGACCATAGCATGGTTAGAAGACTGGGGCAGACAGCGCTGACGCGAACGAACACACTCCCGGCGGCTGCGCCCGCAGCGAGCAACACGGCGAGACCACTCACGAGTGCGGGCAGCCGCGCAACAGCCCGTCCGCTCAGAGCACTGGCCGCGCAAACCGCCCAGACGTCGGCCACCACAACAACCCCCAACGCGAGCGGGGTCCCGCTGGGACAGTGCGTCAACTGCATTTTGGGACACGGCAAGGCACCCAACACCGAAGAGGTGAAACACTCAGTGCGACAGTGCCAGGAGGAATGTAGGATCCAGTGCAAGTACTGCGGCCTGCATCATTTTCACCACCAGTGCCCCAAGAACCCGCACTTCGACGTCAACAAGGGTACGTAAGGCACACACCGGGAACACATAGACAGGCCGAGACAAAAGGCCTAAAGAGCCCAGTTTTAGTAGTCGAGTCTGATGCGAGGGAGTTACGGTCTGCCAACATGAGAGGGGTTGCGTTGGAGGGAGAGAAGGCAGCAGACTAGCAAACGTGAAAGACAACCGATGCGAAAGCAAATGTGCGAACTCCATACCTCAAAGCACTGAGACATGTTGAATTCGTTGAATTCGCATACAATTGGAGATCACACCACCCGACACTCGGCCACATACGTGTGCACGCCTCATCGTGGCAGGCTCACGGCCCCATGTCTCCTCCCAATGTGATGTCTCTGCAGGCGTCATCATGTCTCTAGAGGTGATAGTCTCGGCACTTGGAGACAGGCTCACAAATCCGAGGGCTAGGCGGGCAATCGCGTATCAGCTCCCACAGAGCTTCACAGAAGCCTTTGGTCATTCAACTATAACGGTACCGTCTAACAACCCGATCACGCCCTGGACCGCGGGCAGGCGACTGTCGGCCACGGGCGCCGAATCGCTCGGCTTCAACAACGCATTTTGCCAGGCCATCCACAACGGGGTGCCCCTGCTCGTATGCCGAAACATTGCATCTTACCACAGAGAGAACTACCGGTCAGTGGAGACACACCTGGACAAGGTGGCGGGAGAAAGACAGTGGCTAATCGACAAGGGATACGTGGAGGAGTGTATCTGCCGGCCCTACGTGGTGTCTCCGCTGGGCGCTATCGTTAAAACAGCCCAGCGCTATCGTTAAAACAAAGCCGACGCCTCCCGACTCCTCAGACACGCCGGCAATCAAAGTACGGTTGGTCATGGACTTCACGAAGTCCGGGGTCAACGCGGCAGTCTTCCCACCGCCCTTCGACCTTCCGAAAATACACACAGCACTCTCCCTGCTCAAACCGGGCTTTTTTCAAGCCAAAATCGACATGAAAGACGGATTCCTACACCTGCCAGTCGACCCGCGCGAGGCGGACCTTCTGGGGTTTCAGTCACCCATCAATGTCAAGTATTACCGTTACCAATTCGTCCCGTTCGGCCTCGCAACAGCGCCCTGGCTGTTTTGTCACCTAATGGAGTACGTCAAGACAAGACTGAGCGAACGAGGCGTACACGCCGTGCTGGTGTACGTCGACGACTGGTACTTCGTTGGACAGACACACGAAGACGTGCAACACGCGTTGGACGTTGCGAGAGAGGTGTTCGCTGTCATGGGCTTAGAAGAGAGCGTGGAGAAGGCCGAAGAGCCCACCACGAAGACCGACTTCGTCGGCCTCGTTATAGACACCAGACAACGCACCATCTCGATGAAGGAGAGCAAGAGAGACAAGCTTCTTGCGGACATAGATCAGCTGCTGGACAATCGCCGACAGGAGACTCACAAGCTGCAGCACGTACTGGCCACGGTCGGCAAGCTAACGCACTACGCCTTCCTACACCCGGCGGGACGGCACAAGTTGCGGCGGGCATGGGACATACAAGCAGCACTGGTGCAAGAACACTGCGTCTCGGCCACTCAAGGCAGCCGCAAAGACCAGCCAAGCGTACAGATCTCGAGAGAAGATCAAGTGTGGGGAGACATGAGGTGGTGGAGACAACTCATCAACAGAGGCCCAAGCAGACCACTCCACGTGGGGCACGACGGTCATTTCTTCCTGTGGGAACCAACGTCACACCTCACGAGTGCCCTACAAGCGGACGTCCTCTCCCTGGACCCGCAACGGGCAGCAGCGACAGCCGAACAAGGCCTGGTCGTGTTGTTTACCGACGCCTCGGATCGCGGATGGTCAGGCACCGTGGGCAGCCGCAAATGGCAGGGCGCGTGGTCAACGTCTTCGCACGAGGACCTCCCGTCCATCAACTTCCGAGAACTGCTGGCCGTCCTTTTCTCCATTCAGCGGTTGGTTAAGACGCTGAACAAAGGCGCTCGACTGTTGGTTCGATCGGACAGCGTGTCGACAGTGGGCTGGATCAACGACAAGGAGGAAAGCTCTCCGGCGGTGCAGCGCGTACTGGCACGCATCTTCGCCCTCCTGGAGGCAGTCAACGGAGAGATAGTGGCGGTCCACATACCCGGAAAAGACAACACCGTAGCGGACGAACTCTCCCGCTTCTCACTCTTTGCCGACTCACGAGGGACACGTCTCTCAGCACCCTCTGTGGAGACGCTCGCCACTGCGGTGCGACTGCCGCGCAAGGACCTCGAGTTCCTCCCTCAACTGCAGCTCCAACAGGCATGGCCCCATCCGGCGGAGACCGAGGGATCAGCCGTCATCCTCGCCCTCACACCAGAGGACGTCAAGGCCGCAGGCGCATGGATGCGACACGCACTTCTGTTCAGCAAAAAGCCACACCTCGCGGTCGTACCAAGCTCACTGTCCACGTTCCTTACGGAAGAGCCCGGGCATGCATGTGAGTTCAAGTTCACGTGGCCGGCCGGCAAAGCCTTCTTCGACGTCATAGCTTCAACGCCAGACTGCGAGGCAACAGAGAATTGGAGGGAGGCGACTCCAACACAAGTCGCCCTGGACGTATTCTTACAAACATAAGGACACCCAGTCGACATGCCAGAGAGGTGTACGAACAGACGGGCATAAAGACAAACGCTCTCGAAGAGCACGATGACCCAACCCCAAAAGCGCTCGAAGTGAACTATGGATTTAACCCACCACGTACAAAATGTAACGCCGAGCAAACGGCAAAGCCCGCAGTCTCAATATCACAGCCGGGATGTTTCCCGAGCAGCCTCACCAGTGCGTAGTGTGCAAGGGCACCGGCTTCCTGCGCGTCAACTTGTCAAATAGAAACGGGGCCACGGAGCACTTCAGCTCGGCCCTCCGATGCCCATGCCGTCTCGGCGCAGGAGGGCAGCAATGCGAGAAGACCGCAAGAATGGCGGAGGTCATCAACACCGCCTTTCGAGCCACGCTGCAGCCATCCACGGTGCGGGACTACGAGCGCGTCATTGAGACGTGCATGCAGGCAAGGGAGCTGTTCCCGCTGGACTCACCGGAGAAGATTATGTGCATCTTCTCCCTGTTCCTGCCGTGCCACACCACGCGCTTCCCTCGGGTCCGCGCGGCACTGAAGCTGTGGCACGAGATGCATAACTTCGCCGAACCGCCATTTGAACATGCCCTTGTCAAGAGGTTTCTTCGAGGGCTCCAGGTACACCCGGAGGTGTCGGCCACTCGACACGAGACGGACGTCTTCCCATGGAAGGCCGTCCCACCGCTGCTGAAGCTATGGTTGCTACCGCGGCCAGGACAGCAGTCACCGTCGCTGACATGCCTCCGCAACGGAGCCATCTTCCTGCTGCAATTCTTCGCCGTGAAGCGCATTCGAGAAATCCTCGACCTCACCGCAGCAGACCTCATCTTGACAGCGGACAGCATCGTCCTCTACATACGCAAGAGCAAAACCGACCGCACGGGGAAGGGATTCCACATGCGAATCCCACCCACCAACTCGCTCTTCCCCCAGCTGTCAACAGCACTCCGAGCATACCTCGAGGTCGCCCCGCAGGAACCGACACAACATCTGTTCCAGTCAACAGATCCCACGGGCACGAGGTGGACAGGCCGGCGGCTGTGCCCCTCCTCGTTCAACTGCGCTCTCAAGAGGACGGCCGAAGCGGTAGCTGTCACAGGCAAGATTGCCTCGCACAGCCTCAGGAAAGGGGGCGCATCGTGGTATCTACTGAAGGGCAACCCGCCTGAGCTGGTCAAGCGAGTGGGCAACTGGAAAGGCCCATCGTGGGAGATCTACGCTAAGTTCTCACTGGAAGACATGGCAGCTATGCTGCAAGAAAACGATGATGATGAATGAATACGTGCGAACACCGATTCCAACTACAGCCTCATCAGAACACCGTCTCCAGCTCGCATCTGCGCTTGGCAGGCAAGCGCATCCAAGTGATTTTTCGCACCCACCCCCCCAACCCGCCGGTCCCCCCCGGGCACGCCACGTGCACGGGCATGGGACCGGATTGGGCCCTGCCACTTTTATGCGGTATGACAGTGGAGACACGTTGCGGCAGCGCAGCGTGCGGATCCGACAGCGGCGACGGGCAGTCGGCGCAACCCCGTGGAAGCGGAGCGCGCCGAGCGTATGAACCTGAGCGTTCTGGTGCAAAGGAGTCTGGATCCTCCACTTTTTTTCCTCGACGACTTGAAGCTTGTTTTCGCTAGCAAAGAGCCTCGGCTGTTACCTGATTGCTGTCCGGACCATCATGTCGTTTCTGAAATGCAAGGCCAGTGGAGGAAGAACGCTCAGGGCAAGGGCAATGACGACTCGGCGGTAAGCGAGAGGACCACAGGGCAGTGATGGTTGAATGTATGGTTATGTGTCCATTCCATGGTGCAGGGCGCGACGGGGGCGACAAGTCGACGGTATGCAGCACACAAGGATCTGTGTCTGTGTGCTGGACTGGCGATTCCCCTTGTGCAGCTGTATCGACACAACGGCCCAGGTCAAGAAGGCCAAGGAGCTCAAGACTGCCAAGAAAAAGATCTCCCAGGCAAGATCAGATGGGCTGCTGGAATGATGGAAACATGGGCGACGATGGATGGATGGATTAATGGATGGATGGATGGATGGTTCTGTGCGTGCGTGCCGAATGTGTGGTGCACGCGGACGAATGGGAATGGATGCCTTGCAGAAGAAGCAGGACCAGGTGGGAAGTGCGTCCATCTCATCTAGCACAGCACATGTGCATCCACCTCTGTCTCGACACACCACACCCCTTTCTCTCTTGCAGACGACGCAGGAGAAGAAAAAGGCTGAGCAGGACTTTGACAGACGCATGCAGGTGGGCTGGCAGAAACGAGGGAGGGAGGGAGGAGCGAGAGGAGGGGATACACAGAAACACAGATGACCATCCGTGAGTCCTTTGGCTGAATGGCTGGCTTCTCAGACAAAGTCGATGGTGCTCAAGGACGACGACGAAGAGGACGACTAACGACTACGAAGATACTACGGAGGTAGGCGGATAGACCCCCCAACACACACGCACACACGTGAATTGTATCGACGAACCACAACACACACACCTTGTCTCCCTCTGTGGTGTCTGTGTGTGTGTGTGTGTGCGTGTGCGTGTGTGTGTTAGGTACATCCGTGACGTCTGATACACACCGAATCAGACACATACGGCAGCTGCTGTGGCCTGTACAGGGTGGCGAGGATATGCGTGTGACTGAGGACGACTACCAGAAATCTCCCAAGACGATCGTACCCGGTAGGCAGCGACTGCACCACACTCACACACACGAGGGGGGCCCCACACACGCCAACACGATTGAGTGGCTGCACTGTCGCGTGTGCCAGGGCTCGGGTAGATGATGGGCAAGATGAGCAGTTTCTTCACCGGTGGCGGCGGCGGCGCTGCTGACAGTAGCGGGCAGAAGAAGCCCGTGGGACGTGACGCCCTGGGTACACACACGTAAACCACACCACAAGGAAGGCCTGCATCTGTCTGTGTTTCAGGGCGTGTGGTTAAGGAGCAGGAGGAGGTCGACCAAGCTGCGAAGAAACACACAAAGCACACGACGGGAGGACTAGTAAACACCTCCAAGCACCAAACACGCCCAGACAAACAAACAAACAAACATCCGCGCTTCAAGAAACGCGTCGCTGTCGTGTTTTGTTGATGTCAGCTTGGCATCCCGCTCTCCTTCCCGCCCATCAAGACGCAGGGCAAGAGTATGCAAAGACACACAAAGACAGACAGACAGATGCACCCTCATGTCGCTGTGTGTGTGTCTTGTCAGAACCGGCTCCTCCTCCGAAGCCCAAGGTAGCCAGCCCCCACACAACAAACACACCAGTGAGCGTGTGTGTTGTCTTTCTGCGTCGGCTGCGTGTACGTACGTATTGTGCAGGTGGTCCGACAGCCGGAGTTGAAGGTGGGGCGGGAGATCCACACCACGTGGTCGGACGATCCGGCCCCCAGGCCCTACACCTCCGTCCTGCCCAGGTCGGAGTAGGGCAAATACGACAACACCAACTAAATCCACCACACACCGTTTTTCAAACGGTGACTGGATGCGTTCGTAGCGTGTGGGCGTGAACAATCTGCCTGTCTTGTCTCTCTCTTGTCTGTCTGGCCGCCTGGTTTGTGCGATGTCGTTCGTGCTGCTGGCCTCCCACACAGAAGGGCAGACACACCGGCCCACACAGATACGCCACCCACCCTCCCTCCCCACGTAGCTACGGCAGGAATCGATATCGATGGATCACTGGATGAATGGCTTACACACGTGCGGTCGGCCTTGCCTTCTCTGTCCCACTGTCTATTTGACCACGTGTGTATTTTAAGATGCATTGATTGACGTGTGCTGTGGGTCTGTCTGCAGTGAGTGTGATGATATGTATCTAGCTCTCTCCTCCCCGCGCTTCTCAAGTGGCAGACACAGAGGACCACCCCACCACACAGCCACCCCACCACACAGACAGAGGGATGGGTGTGGAGGCAGACAGACAGACAGACCTCTGTCGGTGTCTCCCTCCCTCTCTGCAGGCTGCCTTCCCAGCAGTATCGCTGTCTATATTTTATATCCCGACGTTTGTGTGAATGTATCCGTGCGCCGTGCGGTCAGAGGACATGCAAATGTGGGACTCAATGCGTACAGATGAACCCTCAGATAGCGGACTGATCCATGAATCAGATGCCTGCAAAACGCACACACACACGACATGCGATGTCATCTCTCACTCCATTCTTCCTTTGTCGCCTTTGCCCTTCTTCTCCCTTTGCGATCGGCTTGCGAGCTTGAAGCGCAGATCCCTGACAAGAGAGGAGAAACTTCCCTACATCCGAGGACAGGAAACATCAGCCTTCATCTGCCCTGGGAGCGAAGCGCAGCTAGCGTCAGATCTTCCCCGGATTCTCCACATCGTGTCCGTGTGGAGCGGTGTGCCAGCAGGCATGGCCTTTCTGGGCGCCATAGCGTTTGTGTGTTTCGCGTCGTCGCTGGTGTCATCGCTGCATCAGATCAAGCAGCACCTGAAGCACTTCCACCAGCCGGAGTTCCAGCTGCACGTCTGCAGGATACTGCTCATGGTGCCGGTGAGATGGTGATGTGCGCATGGGCATGGAAGGCAGAACGAGCCCAGACACGTATGGCTGGCGGCTTTGCGTCTGCGTGTGTGTTCAGATCTATTCATTTCAGTCGTACCTGTCATTCCTGTTCCCGCGCTATGCCGTCTTCTTCGATACCGTTAGAGACTGGTAGGCCACAAGCACTCCGAGCTGCTCATCTGCTTTGTCTATGTGTGTGTGTGTGTGTGTGTGTGTGTGTGTCAGCTATGAGGCGTACGTGGTGAACATCTTCTTTCAGCTTCTTGTACAGTACCTGGGAGGCGAAAACGTCATCGTACTGCACTTCGAAATGAAGGTAGGTACATCACTCAACCATACACTCGTGCATCCATCTGCGCGTGAATGTGCTGCGTCAGGGCCGCATCCGGCATCCATGGCCGATTCGGAAGTTCATACCGCCAATCAGCACCAACAGGTAAGTGTGCAGCGATGACACCATGGCACACACACCATGGCCGCCGCCCAACCGTGCTTCGTGTGTCGGGCCAGGCGATTCTTTCGCAATGTCAAGAAGGGCGTGCTGCAGTTCGCAATCATCAAACCGGCAGCATCGGTCAGTGCTCAATGGATGTCAGCACACGCACGGCCCTATCGATGGGTGTACGTGTGCAGATCCTGGGATTGGTGCTGGAGGTGTTTGATCTGTATGAGGGCGGCAAGTTCAAGCTGCAGAAGGGCTTCCTCTACCTCGCCATACTCATGAATTTCTCTGTTTGGGTATGTGTGTGAGTGAGTGAGTCTCCATCGGCTCACGAGTGCATATATGGTGTCCGTTGTGTCGCCTTGATTGGACGCAGACGGCCATGTACTCATTGATCCTGTTTTACATGGCCACTGAGGATCGGCTGGCGCCCTTTCGTCCACTGGCCAAGTTCCTGTGCATCAAAGCCATCATATTCTTCTCTTTCTGGTGTGCACGTCGTTGACACAACCTGCTCGTAATTGGTATCTACCCGTCCGTGTGTTTCGTGTGGGTTGTGTGGTTGTTCAGGCAGTCGTTGCTGCTGGCCTTCCTGGTGCAGTCGGGTGTAATCGGTGACCTCACATCGATGGGACTCGATGCACACCACAACGCACAAAGAATAGAGGTGCTTCAGTCGCCACACACGTGCTGGCATGGCAACAGATGCATGTGTGTGTATTGGATTGGATGTGTCGGGATGTGTGTGTGTGTGTGTGTGTGTGTGTAGGATTTCTTGGTGTTGCTGGAGATGGTCGGTTTTGCGATAGCGCACAGCTACGCCTTTTCGTACCGCGACTTCGCCGACCCCGACAGGCGGCACAACAGACCGCTGCTCCACAACCTACAAAAGGTCAAATGCCCCACCCACATACAGGAGATGAGTACACTGCATGTATGCATCTGATGCAGGTGTTGAATGTTGAGGACGTGTTGAAGGATGCCCACCAGACCTTCTGGACCAAAGGGGACAAAAGGGAACTGCCACTCAAAGTACGACAGACAGACAGAGTGACAACGAGAATGGGAATGTCGTGTTGTTCCTCAATCCCTGGATATGCCATCCATTCGTCCACCGATCAGGACCTGAAGAGCGCCCACAAAATCGACGCATCATCCGACAGCGACGAGGTGCGGCCGACCAAGCCGAACATCCAACCATTGATTGCACTGATGTATGCGTGTTGTGTGTCCGCAGGAGGACGAGCTTGAGTTGCTGATAGCGCAGGATGCGCACAGCAGTGTATCACTCATGAGGAACCAAGACTCACTCTGACACACGGGCCGGCTGAGGATGGGCGCGCTGGGTGGGTGGTGCTGTGTCGTTGCTGTGTACAGGGAGGGAGGACGGAAGGTCAGTATGTAAGTCGTGTCCTTGTGTGGTTGGTGGCACTGCCCGCCGAGCAGCCAGCCGGTGAAGGTGTGTGTGAGGGCGGGTGGGCGTCCGAGTGTGGATATTCTTCTCTACGATGTTTGTGTGTACATCTCTAATGAATGGACGTGACGAATTGCATGGGACCATTACGCGTATATATGTCATGTCTTATTGTCAATGTCGTTCTTTATACACACGCTCGTGGCTCGTGGCACATTAGCTAAGCCCTCATCAATCACAAACGTCCCAGCGCCTCCCCCGCTCCCTCCGTCCCATGTCTCTCACTCACCTGGGTTCAACGACACATTCATAGTTAGCGATTTGGTGTTGATGTTGACATTGGCCGAGTCCTTCTGCTCACCCTTCGCCGCCTCCGTCTCTGTTGGCTCATTCCCCTTCTCCTTTTTGCTGTCCTCGGGGGTGGTCTCGCTCTCTTTGCTGACGACCTCTTGCTTCTTGCCGGCTGCGGTGCCCTCCATGTCTTGCTTGTCTGGTTCTTCCTTGTTCACGACTGCCGTCCCTTTGTTTGTTTGCTGTTGCTCAGTCGCCTCCTTCGTCTTTTCCTCTTCCTTCTTCTCAATGTCCTTGCTGGGCGCTGCAGAGGCTGGCGGTGTCTCGGCAGTGCCCTCTATGGTCACGGTCTGGCTGGGCGTCTCATTCTCTTTCGTCTCTGTTGGTTTCTCTTGCGTCTGTGGAGTCGCTGGCTGAGTCTCCTCCGTCTCCTTGGCCTGGCCATTCGCCTCCGTGGATTTACTCTGGTCTGCATTCTCCGCTTCTGGCTTCGTCTCGCTCTCTTTGTTGACCTCCTCCGTGTTGCTTACTGTCTCAGCTGTGGTGCCCTTCTTGTCTTGATCTTCCGTCTTGCCGGCTGCCGTGTTTTTGTCGGGTGGCTCTTGCTCAGTCGCCTCCTTTGCCGTGTCTTTGTCCGCATCGGACTCCGTGGACGATGCAGGCTTGGCATCACCTCCATCATTTTCTTCTGATACGGTGACCTTCTCCTGGTCCGCCACCTCTTCCTTGGCCTTCTTAGAGCCGCCTCCCAGGCTGTCCTCGTCCCATGTCATCGGCTCCTCACCGGGAGAAAGGCCCCATCCGCCCCCTTCTGGAGAGGCCGCTGGCCGCTCGCGCATCTCTGGTGTCTCCCCCTGAAGGGAGATCTGGCTCCCCTGACCTGATTGAGCGGGTAAAGGGGGGACAAGAAGGGCTGTCTGTCTGATGGGCGATTGTGAACCATTGCACTTGGCACTTACATTTGTGGTCGCGGCACCAGGACGCGCAGCACTCCTACAACAAATAAAAGGTGAGAAATTAGAACATACACAAGTTTCTTTTTTGAGAGGGTTTTGTTATCACCCAGTTTTCGTCGCAGTGAGCGTGGTTCCTGCGGCAGTCTGTGCCTTCGGTGCTGCCTGCGACAGAACCAGCACTCTATGACGGCCGTAACGATGGACCTGCTGCACAGAGCTTACATTTTCCGTTGACGCATTTGAAGCCTCCACACTCTTGTTCGACATTGTGGCCATCACACGGGTCGCCCAGCGCACCTGTGCATGTTGATGTCGGAATGTGGACGGTCCGGCTGCAGCACACAGGGCTGCTGTCCCGTGTGGCCTGCTCGCCGCCCTCCTTGCACGCTGCATGCCGTGAGTAACAAACAACAGTGAAGTGAACATGTGAGCCGCGTGTGTGGGCGGTCTCTTACCCTTCCATCGTTCGCAGGAGCCGTCCGATCTGTACTCTTCGCACACCTTCCTGTTTGCAATCGTCGGAAGGGTCAGCATAAGCCACACGAGGAAGACCACGACCATGTTGACGAATGCATGCAACACCGCCCCCACGCCCCCAGTCTCGCGTTTTGTCGCAAGATGCGTCCTGCCACCAGACTGCTCACGATCACTGCAGCAGTGGCCATATTTGTCGTGGCCGCATCGCATGACACAGGTACATCAGCGAGGCAAGGCCACAATGTCATCCCCTGGACCATAATGTTGTGTTTGCAGACCCATCAGATGTGGTGATTGAGGAGGAGACCATCATTGCAGAGGGCATCACGGACGGCGGACAAACGCTCTATGGCGTAGTGGAGCAGGACATTGTCGAGCTCCCTGCCTCGCCCACAGCCGTTAATGATCCATCAGCAGGGAACAGCCAAAGTGACGAACTGGAGATGCTGGTGATGTACGAGACAGAGCCTAAGAAGGGTGACTCGTCTGTTGGTCTGCACTGCGACAAACGCCTAAGACGGCTACAGGGCATCAGTAAGCAGAGGGCAAGGTGGACAGAGACAGGGGGATGTGTCGACTCTGTGTCTCTGTTCAGTTGACCCAAAGGACACGCCTGGCGGAAGTAAGGACAGAGGGATGTCATGACATCACCCGAGGAGACCTCCCGATTGTTGCCTGTATGTGTGCATGGGTGTGTGGATGTGTGTATGCAGAGCGCAAGCATCCGAAAACATCTATGTTGGAGGACATCATCGGCGCCAACTGGTACAAAAACGACCTCAACTACTTCGCATACGCCAGCACCGCCACACGCAGAGGAGCGATAATGACGAGGGTACCTGTTTTGACAGCACTCTTGTTGCTGTTCGCTTTGTGGTGATGGTCGATATGGACTGTAAGTTGTGATGACATCTCATCTGTGAGTTTGAAGGCCACTCTGACACGCACACAGCAGTCCAAATGAGGCGGGCAGAACTCTCATGCACTGAACGACACAGCTACAATATGCGAATGTATGTCCTTACTATCCTCAGACACAAAATCTGCTCGTATATGTTGTGTCGGACACATCTCACAAACTCACAAATACAAAGAGACACCCCCCTGTTGGCGTTCGTGGCATGGATACACAGACAGCTGAGTGCATGCACGCCGGGTGGATGAGGGCACACATGACTCATTTGTCTGTGAGTATCCTGTATCCCTCCCAGTCTGGCGGGGCCTGGTAGTTGAAGTCCCTCATGTGATTGAGCAGCACCAGCGACGGGCCATCCTCCGCTGGGCCAGGCAGCTCATCCTTCAACCTGATAATGACACACATCAGTCGCTACAGACAGCGACATTGCGCTTACTGCAGATCTGCATACTTGTCCAGCATGTCTCTTGCCTCTATCCAGCTGCCCTTTTCATAGCAACTGAATGCCTCGCTGCAAGTGTATAGGGGAAGGAAGGAAAAACACCCATGGAAAGGGGCACTCATATGAATCATAGTGGCTGGCTCACTTGAATCGCCCCACGAATCCCTTGGGTATGTATGCCCGCATGCTGCGGAGGTCCACATCGGTTTGAAACATACCCGCTATCTGCACAGCAACAAGACAACAGCCGCAAGTGACTACCACTTCTTTTGTGCCTCTCCCTCCTTCCTTTCGTCGTACATCGTTGTCTGGGTTCCAGAAACCTCTTTTGCGCATCGCTTTCCGCTTCGACTCCTTCAGCTTCTTGTGCGCCATGTATGCCTTGTAGTGATCCGGGTCGCTTGCGGCCAGCTGCTTTTCTTTCGTATCGGCCTTGACCTTGCCCGTTGACGACTGAAGACCACACGCAAAACGAGGCAAGGAAAGGAGATATGCACATTCACATTGGATGAACGGATGGTGGCACTCACCCGCAGGGCGTCGGCATTGAGGTCAACTGTCCAGAGGTGCATGGGCCTCTTGGAGCCCTTGACGGTCACACAATCGATGTGACGGCACTCTTCCTGCGTGGAGGCATTCAAACATCACACATGCGGACGGACCGAGAAAAGCGCCTCTCTGCTTGTTCACCCTGAAGGTGGGCGTCATGGTATCGACAATCTCGCCCGAGACAAGAATGGGTACGCCAAACTGCTTGGTGGCCGCCTCGAGCCGCGACGATATGTTGACGTTGGGGGAAAGGTAGGAGGCGTCGATCTTGTACATGGACCCGATTGCACCCTCGATGGCCCAGCCCATGTGCAGACCGAAGCCCATGCGGACGCGGTAGTTCTTGCCCAGACGGGCAAGCAGGCCCTCATGGCGGCTGTAGGCGGAGATCACCTCAGACTGACAAAGGCGACACTCCAATCCACTCACTTGTGCGTGTGTGTCATCTCTCATTAACGGCACCGACAGTGATCTCTCACCTTCTTCATCTCAGAGATCATTTTGAGGTAGGACATGAGCGCGAGCTCGGCCAGTCGGGCGACAATGTCGTTGTCGATGACCTGCCGTATCAGCGCGCTGGGGTTCTGCGGGTCGTCTTTGTCAGCCACGAGACTGAACTCGACTTCCTTGCCTGTCCACGGGTGTCTCTCGGGTATCTTCCACACCAACAGAAAGGCATCCCCGATGTTCTTGTTGGCCGTGCCGCTGAAATCGTCACAGATGCCGTGGACCACCTCGGCTATCTGGTTGACGAACACCATCACCTGACACACACATACACAACGCAAGACAAGAGCAGTCAGAGCTGGGGGGAGTGTTCGTGTCCTCTGTGTGTGAGTTCACTCCTTCTTTGAGTATCTCGGTGGCATCAGTGAAGTTGCGGATGTCGCAGAACCCGAAGATGCAAGTCACTTTGCGGCCGGGGATGAGCGGGTCGACTGTCTCGGCGGACTCGATGTTCTTGCTGATGATTGCCGTGCCGGCCTCTCCGAAGCCGAGAGCCATTAATGTGCCGATCTTGACAATCGTCTTCTCGAGTAACACAGTCTCCATTGGCTCGGTTTCCTGTTTTTTGCCCACGGGGTTCATGCCGACCATTCCATAGAAGCAGTTCTGCATACCGAGAAAACAGCGCTGCCACCTGATAAAAGGGACACGGCACGGCTGTGTTCGCATCCAATGGTGGGCAAGCTCGTTGTCTATCTGCCTACACGAGCAGCGCCCTGGGCGTGCCGGCATGGCTGTCTTGTCGTGTCATTGCTCCAGTCTGCTGCGGGGCGATCTTGGTGGTGCGGCGACGAGATGTTTTGCGCGACTTCTTGAACTCGCTGACTTCTTTTTCCAGGAACTCGTGCTCCATCTTGGCCGCCTCAAGAGGATTGCGGCTGCATTGACACGGGTCTTTCATTACCATATGCACGTTCGCATCTGTGCCGTTGTTATTGTACCGGATGACGTCGAGCCGATTCATCATCTTCTCAAGGGGATCGAGGACCAATGTCTGGGCATCGTTGGAAAACATGATGGCACCTGATTGAGACACACACACGAAGGGATTGTGTGATTCATCTGCGGTACATGCAAGCGTCAGATACTCTACCAGCTGCGACAATCTGTGAGGACACATAACAGAGACACGCACAGGTACGCGTGAAGGAGGATGTCTCGTGAATGGATGTCTCGTGCATCCATCATTGCATTCACTCCTCACCACACAGATGAAGACGGTCTGAGCAATGGAGAGGGCGGCTTGAAAGGTCGTGAACGGACGCAAATCAAAGGTCACCTACACACCAAACAAAAACCAAGACTCTCTTCAACGCACAAGTCGTCTATTCCTTCTTTCAGGTGTCGCACTTCGTGGAATTCTCCCTCGACGAGCATCATCTCGCTGCGCCGCAAGTCATCGAGGCTGTCTATCACGTCAGTGACCAGCACACCATCCTCGCTCGCCGCCTCAACAGACGTAAGAGCGGCCAACGGCTTCTGCACCCAAACACAGGTGTGGCCAGCTTCCTGACAGCTGCATATACGCGTTGGACGTTGGGTTAACACACATACCGCATCGTCGAAGGTGAATAGGACGAAATCAGCGCCATTGACATCAACTTCTGATCTGTCCACTGGTGCTGCCGCCAGTGGCACAGGCAGCCTCATCTGCACCGCATAGCCGTGTGTGCCATCGTCCTGATCCGAAGCACATACACACAGAAGGCCATGCTGGCCGGCGGCAAAGTGAGTTGGAAGCGACCTTGTGGAAGGAAAGGAAGCTCAGCACGCTGGTGTTCCACCCGGCATTCGTGACGACAGGATCGATCGCCCACATCCTGGAAACAACCAGAGGGGAAGAAGAAATGTGAACACATCCATCACATGTATTCGCCTCCCGGTGTGTATCTCACGCACACGTCAAGCTGTTGGACTCCATAGAGACTCGAAACTGCAAACTGCTCGCGCCACAGATTCTGAGAGGCAGCAGAGTGGCAAAGACAAGGAAGAGACGGACAGCGTATCGTGTCTCAGCCTGATGATGCGCACCGTACCGCATCGAAGAGTGGTATGAGTAGCAGCATGGCCAGCACCATGACAATCACACGCTTGGTGGTGCGGTCAGACAGCTTCTTGCCCACACGGGTCTCGGGAAGCTGTATGCACACATACACACATACACACATACAGGCATAGACACACCAGAGCAGAGCCCTTTCTAATGTCTGTTTCCTACCCCTTCCGCCACTGTCGTGTGCGTCAAACTTGCAGGCGGCTCATTCACCTCCAGGTCCATCTCTAGCTCGTCACCAGCCTTCAAATCCTGTGCCTGCGGCAAGGCCAGGTCGTTAAGCTTGCCACGAGTCAGCATGTTCTTACTTTCTGCTTTTCCTGTTTGTCTTCGAGCTTCTCGTGTTCTTTGTGATCAATTCGCATCACCGCCACCTTGTACAACTTGATGATACGCACGAGACGAATTATGCGGCCGGCCCGGCTGCCCGCACGTGCGGCCCGGCCGGCGCTGGATGCGGTCGACGTGCCCATTTGGCCCTGAAGAGCGGCGTCGACCGCAGAGATATCAAGGATCATGGATGATGTAGCGATAAAGTCCTGCAAGAGACATAGATGTGGAGACGCATGACGAGGCGTGTTTGTCACTATCGCGGTTTCTGTCGTGCTCTCATCTCCTTACAGTCCAGAAAAAGAAGTGGGGGAAGTAGTCTTTTTGGCCGATGGACAGCAGGATCATCTCCAGAGCAAAACACACGATGCCAATGATCGTCAAATAGTCCAGAGCAATGTCTTCATGCTGAGCGGAGCACACACTCGTGACGAGGCGGCTCCGCAATCAGGTCACATTCTTACGGCTGAAAGGCCCGCCAGCCACACGTCCTTCCCGAAAAGAGCGAAAACGACCAGTACGGTCATGAAGGTTGTGGTGTACGGATTGTCAGTCAACTTGCGGCAGACGACCTGCAACAAGGAACACGGCAAGGAGACATGTCCTACCCTTCTTCTGTACCCATCCCCGCCTACACAGTTACTTTGTATGTGGGCTCTTTGGTCTCCCCCATAAGCGATCGTTGCCAGAAGCTGGTGGCCACACTCTTCATCGACCGCTCCTCCTCTTCCTGCGGCGAGTCCAGCTGACTCAGCCGCATTTTTGCCGAGTCCCTTCTCTTGCCTTTTTCATCCGTCGCTGTGGAGGGACTGTCCTCTCCGGCATAGTGATGGGCGTCGCCGAAACTGATGCTGGGAACGCCCATTTGGTGCTCGGCAAACAGGGTCCGCACAGGGATGGGTGGTGCGGAATGATCCGCCCTCAGCAGCGGTGGCAGTGCGGCATGGTCGGTGATAATGGTATCCCGGTGCTGAGAGGCCATGCCGATGTAGTACCTCTCCTCCTCGCAGTCATCGTTCCTGGAGAGGTTTGACTTTGAGAGCTCCCTGTCGCTTTCAGTTTCTGGGGCGTGAGGGAGGAGGTGCGGAGGGCCTGGTCCGTTGTCGTCAGCCGGCAGGAAGACGCCAGGTTCGGAATGGGCGGAACGGGCGCTCATGGGTGAGGGGGGCGAAATACTGAGCCTCAGCTGTGGAGGAGCCTCGCCATTCATGTGGATCTCTCTCTGAAGGGAAACAGGCTGATGGACGAACGGAGTTGTGGGTGTGGGGCGAAATCATGCCCCCCGTCTCGCGATCCACGGAGCGGTAATGATGGAGACGGTCCAGCTGCTCACGGAGGAGGAAGACCAGCCGACATGGTGCCTGTTTGATGTGTCGGCATGCATACGTCGCCGCTTCTATCGCTTCCTCGAATCGATTTTCATCATCCTTGTCATCTTGCTGCTCTGCTGCTGCGTCTGCTGCTGCTTTATCGTGTATGGCCGAGACCTCACCCGCATGTTGCTGAACGGCGTCGAGGTGCCCGACTGGATGATGAGAGATCTATTCCGCTCCGAGAGAAGGTCCGACCCGGCGAGCAGTGCAGATGAGGTTGACGAGTCCCGCCGCCGATGGTCGAGCGGGGAGAGCAGGGCTGTGTCTGAGAGTGTGGCTGCACCGCGTACTAGGCGGTCGTCCCGTGCGTCAGCCAGCCGTCCGTCGATAGTCTCTGTATCCGTAGCATCGTCCAGCCGCCCGTCTGCCGGCTCGAGAGAAGCGTCACGAACAACGTCGTAGAATTCTATGTAGCATTGCATGTGCCTGCTATGGGAGCAGCTGTACATCGTAACATCCGTGACCCCACCTGTCCGCGTCTGTCTCGTTCCATGTGTGTGCATCATGCACCGCACAATCCATTCGCCATCACGTGACTGACTGCACACACACACCCACAGGCAACAGCCCCCAACACCCCAACGCATTCATTCACTGGAGAACCAGAAGCAAGGAGTGAAGTACATCGGTCATTGTCGGCCAATCAGCGTGTCTATTGTCATGGGTGGAACGGCAGGCAGGCAGGCAGGCAGGGAGAGAGAGAGAGAGAGAGAGAGGGAGACACGCAGATAAGAATCTGGCCATTCCAACACAGCAGCACAAAACCGGTATGCAGAATGACGGGTTCGTCGCCATCTCTCGGACAGAAAAACACACGCTCTCGCGGCAAAGTGGTCGTCTCTCTGTTCTCGTGTCTGCCAGCACAGTTGCTGGCAGTGTACACACGCACCATGCATGGATATAACATCCTTTTGATACACAATCAGGTAGGTAGGTAGTTGCTCACACAAATAGTCTGTCTGACCAATCAGCAGCTCACTTGCCTCACTCACTCAAGTCAGGTTGAAAGTATGAAGTGTCCCAACC